AAGAAAGATTATTTTTTTCGTAGGAAAGGAGTTAGAAGACAAATTTTTTTATAAACAGGTAGACCACGAGCTCTACTTTCAGAATATGTATGATTTATTCCTTCACTCTTCCTTCACTCTTTCTACCCTCTTTGAAAAAATGTATTTTTCTAAAAGATAGCTAAAATCCGACCTTTTTCAGGTCCTAGGTTTTTCAAGTAAGTTAGAGAGTTAGAAAAACATTTTTGGATCAAAAAATTCGTGATTAGCTAAAGTATATCGGGCATCATTCATATCTCAAAAAATCTCACTTTCATTTTTCCACCTAATGTCCACGTGATTGCCCACTGTGCGGTAGCTTTGCATGCATAGTAATCTATATTTTGATAAAATCTTAGAAAAATCTTGTAAAATCTTGGAATTTTTGGATCGCATGACCTGGGTAAGATCTTGTCCAAGATCTTAGAGTAGCGTAGTTAAAATTCATGACAAGTAAGTAGTTTTATTAACCATACTTGCCATTTTTTTCAAGTCAGAGATGGGCAACTGCGGCTAAGTTCAACTCCAACTCGGTTTCAACCCCAACAAGAACTTATTTTATCTTAATTCGTTTTCTTCTTTATTTTATTAGCAGTTGTTTATTCCGCTTTTGTTTACAAGAGTACACACAAAAAAAGTCAGTTTAACAATTCAAAATTGCATTTCAACAATGTTAATTTTGAAAGCATACTCCTTGCCATTCTATATCAATGAGATCGGAAAAGAAAACCACTCTGTGAAAACACTCTCTACTGGTGTAACAAAAAACAGGAAAAAATTTTCAGAGTTGTAGAAATTTTTTATTGAAATTGTGGAGTTCAAGTTGAAAACATTTGAACTCAACTCTAATCTGATAAAAATACAACTCCAACTCGTGCCCAACTCCACTAAAAAGAAGCTCAACTCCGGAGTTGGAGTTGCCCATCTCTGTTTCAAGTACTTGGATCAAATATGTCCGCTAGAATAATCAGTGCTAAAAATACAAAAAGAACGCCAGTTCAAGAATAACAGGTATCCTATGAATCTACGGTTAGTTCTTCTAATCCTTCTTCACGGCCACAACTTAACTATGATGTATACTCAGTTTTTCATCATTATTTATCCCGAGTTTGCTTCACCATTCCAGACGGAGTTTGCTTATTTGACATATCTCCCCAGGTCACTGATTACGATGGCTATATACGGCGAATTACGACCCCGTGTACTGTAACGCAACATGCCGTAAACGGCCGTAACTTGACATAATTTGGCCGTAATCTTATGCTCCGTAACACTGCAGCCATAAACAACCTTTTACGAGACTGTTTACTGTCATAATGGACCCGTATACGTTCGTTTACGGCGCCAGTATTACGAAGCATAGGATTACGGCGTTGTAAGTCACTTTTACGGCCGTTTATGGGACGTGTTGAATCATCTGGGTCGTCGTGTCGAAGATTTTTAGATGTCGAAGATGTTTTAATTTTTCGTTTTTAGTCGAGCTTTTCCTGCTTTTGTATTTAATATATATATTTAAATTTTCTTTAAATATTTAATTAATTTTGCTATATGATGAGGCAAATAGCTGTCCCCTGAAGGTTAACCCATGTTACCCATTCCCTAGAAGTAAAGGCCAGAGATAGAATTTGATGCTTAAAGTAGCATGAGATAGGGGTAACCTATCTCTACGGTCAGTTCCCACGCCAATTAGTTTTTACCTTTTTTCTAGAGATTCGGCTCCTACAAAAGTAAGCGCCTGTCCTAGCCCAATTAGGATAAGCGAGAGCTCGGGTTATAGCTCTACATACACCTTGGGCGCACCCAAGGATTCGACTGTTGCCTTTTTATAAATCCAGGAGAGAGACTGAATTGCGGAGACTATAAGGAGGATCCAGATAGCTGTGTGCCTAAGGCTAAGTATTTCCTGAGTTTTAGGGAGGCTTCCCCCTTCTATAATTAAGTGGATCAGGAAGGTGTTTCACAAAAATTCTTAAGTGCTCGACTTAACTAAGTCTTCGTTTTGTACACTTATGTGCTAATTTTATACACTCAAGTCTGGCTTAAGTCTAGACTTAGTTAAGTCGAGCATTTAAGAATTTTTGCGAAACACCTTCCAGCCCTTGGAGATGTATGCAGTCTAGACAGGTGGGCGTATTTTATCTCTAGCTGATCCCTTTCTTCTAGAAATGAGGTAGCTCAAATGTTACTATAAATGAGTGCAATGCCTAAGATCAATCCTTATGGTCCCACATAATGGAGATTGGAAGTACGGTGATTTACCTTCAGACTACATATATATAAGATCAACCAGGTTGCGGCCGGGAAGGGAAAACCGATATTTTCATAGGGTAGGACAATCTAGCGGTTAACTATGCCCCCTGCAGGGTAACTCTATATCCAATACTGATTCTTCTTCTTGGGGATGTTCATTAAAAGCGATGTGCCTAATAACTTGCCAAGATAGATTGAACCCCTGAACCCTTTAGAAACTAAGTGCTGAGTGTAGGGTACCGTCTCGGGGTTAATAAATATCTCTATCCCTCTCACTTTTATTTTTAATTTCCTCTCCATTTGCTCCTAAATTTCTTTATCCTTGAATTTTCTTGATTATTTTTGTATAATAGTGTTTTTTTTATAAAACTTTTTAAAAACAACTAAACTAACAATTTAAATGTTTAAAATTATTAGTTTAATCGTTTGAATTCTCTTATCCATTTTTCCTAAAGACAAAATTCCCTGGAAGGGAATTTAAGGATTCAAGAAAGCGACATGATCGTAAGGAGGAAATATAATACCCAGAGAGATATGAGGTGTTTTTATATCCCCTTCTCCCCCCTTGAGTTTTAATTTACTTATAAATTCTTCGTAAAATCAGGTAAAATAGAAGGGGAGCGAAATTAGTATATCATAGATTAGTTTTTTTTATTTTTAAATTTAATAAAATATAGTCACAAATATTGTCATGATTAAAATTAACAAGTGCTGAAAAAAATAACAATAAAAATAAATTAATAAAAATAAGTTCGATCTCGCCAGAAATCGAACCTGGAATCTTCTGATCCAGAGTCAGGCGCGCTATCCATTGCGCCATGAGACCATTATTGCTCCAACTGTATTTTTAGAACTGGAATAGTTAAGCGAGGACATCTAATTTTTTTGTGAAATAAATAAGGAATTATAGTTATTCATTACTGGTTCAAACCTTGGATGGAATTATACTTTTTATCGCTTCATTATTCATGCGTTCAACTTTAAAATTAAAAAAAGGAAAAAGAAACAAAACAAATAGCGCAACAGTTGACTGGAATGCACTATCGCCTTTTCTTTCTAATATGTAGATAGAAAAAAAGGAGAAATATGTGTGGATAATAGAGTATACTATTAATAACAGGCACATTTTAGTGTATAAGTTTGTATTAGAAAGAGAAAAGGTTTGTCTTATTTCGTTTGTATATTTATTCAGATACGGCGTGAGTCTCATCGTTGCACGGACGAGAGACCCAGCAATACTTTTTCCTAGAAAGCACTTAAATATCTTTCTCGATAAAGTAGTGAACAAGTATGAGCTATTTGATTAAAAAACTACACTTTCGTTCAAGAATGACAAAATATTACTTGTTAGCTGAATAGTTTTTCAATATTTTTATGTACAAACTTCTTTTAGACAATGCGTTCGAACGATAGACTGATATTAAACATGTGCATTGACGGTAGATGATTTGAGTTATGTACTTTGAATAGAAATAAATGCCTTATACGGAAAAGAAATTTGCATTTTTTTTGTCTATAAAATAGACAAAGACTTGTTTTAAAAGACTCTTATACGTGCAATGATCATTTACATATATTAAATGCGTATAAACGCAAGAAGCGAATAATAATAATAAAAAGAAAACACAAAAACATGAATAAAGTGAAGAAAAGAAGGGAGAAAAAAAGAAGTAATTGTGTTGGCGACAAAAATGTTTTTCTTATTGGTCTTTGTTATTTTTTACGAGACCGAAAAACTGTGTAGCATAAAGTATATCGAAATGGACAAGAAAAGAACAATTACTTATAGAGTCAATTGTAGTTATATATATACATGTATTATTGTCGCTCTACTATATTTACGAAAATATTCGTTCTATCTATATTTTTCATTGTGATTTAATATATGATTCATCGTCTAACTTGTCATCATCCTGATTTGTACAAATAATAATAAACGGGAAAAGAAAGAGAAATGTAAAACAGCATACACCCTCTTTTTTTTCTTCATCTTACGTTTAAACTGATGATGAGTGTAGTCTATACAGATGATTTGCTAGCATGCGTAACTAGACTTTTGATCGTGCATAAAAAAAGGCGAGAGAAAGAAAGAGATTTGTCCACAATAAAGAACGTAAAAAAACCAAACCGAAGGGTGAGAATAAGAGCTGTTCAACATGACATTTGTTTGTGTTTTCAGGCACCCCAATAACCGTTCATAAATTAGTGACAAAACTTCAACTGTTTGAACTTTTAACGAACGTCATACAACGGTTGGAATCTAAATTCCTATATATCTGACATTTATCAGTTCTAGTTGATCTTTCGTATAAACTATTATGTATACAATAGGAAATAAGAGAAAAATATTTGCTGGTTTTCTTTTTACTTAGAAGCACAGAATAGAAGTCAAATAAACCAAAATATTTATCTCTGCTATATTTCTAATTGCACCGATTAAACGTGTTTGTAGTATATCTGTAAAACTGTCCTTTTTTTTTTCTCTAGATCTAATCTCATTTTGAGATAAAAATGGAATCTTCTGGTGCTGCTGATTATATATTTAAAATTGTTTTGACGGGTGATAGTGGTGTTGGCAAAAGTAATTTACTATCACGATTCACTCGAAATGAATTTTCATTAGAATCTCGATCAACTATTGGAGTTGAATTTTCCACAAAAGAAGTACAAGTAGACGGAAAAACGATAAAAGTTCAAATTTGGGACACTGGTAAGAATCATTTTCAGGGGTAAAAGCATGAACCTGATTACATGGACGTCTAATTTAGATGTAATTTTATTTACTTTCAAGAAGATCAGAAAAAATTGCGCCAATTTGTTTGTCACCGGGCCTGGATCTAAAGTACATGAGACAACACATACCTTTTGAGCAAAAACGCTAATTTTGATCAACAAGCCTGCCTTAAAAATTTGTGTTTCTATAGCAACTACATGTATCCACGAATAATTATGGATCTGCTACTGTTTGTATGTGGAATATACATCTACTGAACTAATTCTCATTTTGATAATCATGAGTGAAAAAAACCAGAAGAGAGTTTTATTTTCGTTTCTTTTTTAGCCGGTCAAGAACGTTTTATGGCAATAACAAAAGCTTATTATCGAAATGCCTATGGTGCATTACTCGTATTCGACATTCTCAAAGCATCTACATTTCAAAATTTAGATCAATGGTAAGTCATTTTTATTAAATTTATTTAATAAAACTGTTAAATAAAATTTTTTCTCTTTGTAGGTACAGTGAAGTACGAGCGAATGCTGGTGTTGATTGCTGCATTATTTTAATCGGAAATAAATCTGATCAACGACATATTCGAGCAGTTATGAGTGATGCTGCGAAAAAATATGCAGATGAACGTAATATCAAATATATCGAAACATCAGCTTTGGATGCCACTAACGTTGAACAAGCATTTCGGACACTAATACAAGATATTTATAAACAGTTTTCAGAAAAAGTAAATGTAGTGAAAGGCGAGTCAGACGTTGTCAGTCTGCCAAAAAATCAACAAAACCAACAACAACAACAAAATTATTCATCGAATTCTCGGCCAAATCAGTGTTGTTAATCTTGAAATTATTGTTTTCATCTCTGTTTGTATGTTGTGAAAAAATCTGTTTTTTGAATTTTTGTTTTTATTTCGCTTTTCTAATTCCACTGAGTATTTTTCCGTATTAATTTCTGTGTCTTTTTGTTCAGTTATTTTTCCTATAAACGAATGCGAAGAAAAAAATTAACTGTATGAAAAGCACTTCATTTAAGATAATTGTGTTCAAAATATATGATACATACGTGTAAAATTGTGTAACAGTTGAATATAAAGTAAATAATAAATTGGAAAGATAGTAGATATCTGTCGCTCATATAGTTACACATTATACTGCGTTGATTGTAATCGAGGATATTTTGTAATATGTTGAAGATCAAGTAACGTTTGTCAGTTTTTTCAAGATTGTTCTGCAGTTTCTTTTTTATCATGTAGCGGTTTTTATATGAACTATTTCTGTGAGAATGTTAAGTTTTAGATATGATTACCAACGAAGGCAAGAGGGCCGAGAATCTATTATGATCGTTTATTAGCAGAACAAAAATGACAAAAGGGCACTAGTGAATAATGTATAATATTAAAAATCAGAAAGGGCAGTATTGTTAAATTGCATTTGGATAAATAAGAAGAAAAGACGTACACAAAACAAATATGGTACAGATATTGATGATTTCATAACAAGGACGCAAAACATAAGATTTTACTTCTTTAAAACACGCTCAAAAACCCGTTTTCTAGCGTTGAAGTGCAATAGTATTACATTGTGTAAAGAACAAACATCGTATACCGTTATAACACATTATCACATTTCGTCGCATTTAATCGCTACTGACATAATTTCTTTTAACTCGTAGCGCGTCGAAATTCAATGAAATTGTATCCCTTAACCGATTATGCTATGATAAAGTTGTTGATAGCACATTAATCTATCTAGTATAACCACTGTTTTTGAATATAAAAGTAGTTCACAGAAATGTGAAACAAATCTTTGAGTATTTGCTCCAAAATATTGCCTCTTCTAGATTGTAATGCACAAAGAAGAATATTTTGTAGAAAAATGTACGTAAAGTACTCTAGGGTAAACAGAGACACTCCATTCAATTACATGGAGTTTTAATGAACAATTTCTTATTAATTAAACCTAAGAGATGATTAACTCAAAAATACCTCCTTTTATAGCCCAAATCTTTCTCTCTCAACCATATAACATTGAACTCATTATCGTTTAAACTCATTAAGCTGATAAAGATATAAAATCGGCTGTACTCGAAATTGTGAGGGTGAAATACACTGGATTGTCAGAGATTTAGAAAACAGGATGAGATTTGACCAACATATCGATTAAATACTTTGGAAAACTACATGATTTCTCGAAAAAACACATCAGTTTAAGGTACAAAATTTTTTTTGAACGCTGGTCTTATAGAATAGACTTTCTTCTTCAAGATAAAAGCTCACATATCCTTGGATTTGTATGTGTAAAGGAGATACTGGAATAATGTCGTTCGATCAGTGTATTTCAACGGGAGAAAGGGAGATGGAGACCTATTTTCATGATAACTTACAATTCAAGCTCTAGGGGAAGTAGTATGAGCTTTTACCTTGAAGAGGAAAGTCTGTTCTATAAGATTATCATGCAAAAAAACTATATGGGCGAGAGAGGAAGCTCTGGGCTATAAAAGGAGGTATTTTCGAATTAATTATCTCTTACGCTTAATTAACAAGGAATTGTTCATTAAAACGCCATGTTTGAATGAAACTATTTACCCCAAAGTACTCTACGTATGTAAAAATACAACATTGTCAAGTCATTGATTAAGATACCAAACTTTTGATTCATCCAACTACAAACTCTATAAGAAAGGGCATTCAAATAGTAACTACTGCTATTAGGCAAATTCTTATTTATGAACTACAGTAGCTATGTGAAGATGAAGGACTAGGTTGGTGAAGAAAAGCTTGAATGTTTTCTCTTTTGTGCTATGCACTAAAAGTTCGAAGTTCAGTTAGATATTTTTCTGCTTTAATTGATCTCAATGTAAAGTTACGTGCATAGCCGGAACTAAAACGACTTCATCAGTTAAGATAAAACATCTATCACACTCACAAATCTAAACTTCATGCAGCAATTCCTTAGCAATTCGAGACTCTGATGAATCAGAAAGCATAGAATGTATTGTGTATTGGAAGCAGGATGAGCCCTTCCCACATTCTAGAGCCCTCGTGATTACTGAGATAGTATCTTCCCGATTGAGCAAGTTGCCGATTTGACCAATATTTTCCGATTAGACAAGTGACAAAAAACTGACAGAATAGGTTCTCAAAAGAAAAGCGCTAGGGTAAATTTACAGGAATGAGAAAAAACCAATACGAGTTTAGTTCTTTGAAAATAGAGGCAAGTTTATTACAGCTAGTAATAATTGCAACAATGTCGCTAATCGTCAATTGAAGAAAACTATGCTCAATAAAGTGAGATGTTGCTATGCGGAATCGAGTTTGAAAAATAAATACATAATTTATCGTGTTATAACTCCTCAAATTGGATAGCTCATCACTTTTAATCAATTTTAGCTCACGCACTTCAAGGACCTATTTCACCGGAAGTTGTAGTGAATCTTTTATAGTTCTCGAATTGTTTTGTCCTGTATATGATGTTTCATTTCCTGAGGGAGACAATGGTTCTAGAGACAGCTGAAATCAAAGTTCGCCACTTTTATAAATAAATTTACTCACGCTATCAATTCAGCATAGAGGAAAAAATTTAAAGTTCTTCTTTCCGCGAAGTGGAAGTAGCCCGACTACCGTAATGGTACTGATGCGCAGTAGTAAATAGTAAATCAGATTAGTAGGTCACCCTATGTTAAAAGGTCACCGTTAATAGAAGAAAAATTTGGGATGACATTTTTTCGAAAAGAATATTCGATGTATAAAACCATAATACAAGGACATAACCTTCTATTTTAGCGGGGAGTTAGATCATACGAAATGTATCATAGCATCCACATATAAAACCAAAATGGATGAAAAGGAAAAAGGAATAAAAGCTAAAAAGATGGGTTACATTAGACTACCAACATTCTATTGCTACGGGATTGGTACGGGATACTGAAAGTAGCGCGGTACGACGAACCAAAATATCGCATAGTGACACGTTTAAGATTGTCAGACATTGTAATAGTTTATATCACAATAGCATTTGTTTCTTAACATCACCCCAAACTTTTATAACAAGATAAACGTGGATTGTGTTTATTATTATCTCAATCGAATGTATTTGACGATAGACCGTAACTTAATAATACAAATACAAGCAGCTCATCTATTTGGATACATCCAACACTAGAAATTGTTGTAGCAGACGAACTATGAAATATATCTGCTTAAAAATCACTCTGCCGCACGACATTAACTATTATGTGTAGGAACTACATGTTCAGCTGTATTATACATATAAACAACATCAGCACAAGTTGAAATTGATAGTACAAAGGAATTATATATTTACTCAAAACAAAAATTTAAATTATGTACTTAAACATGTAATCCAGGAGAAGCCTTGTGGATTAAAATATACTCGAAGTATGTGAGTATGTGTTAGTTGACCATGATATAAAAATTATGCGCGATTGTCTCGTTTTTCATAGACGCTTTGTTTTTATTTCGAAAAAGATAAATGTGAAGGACAGAATAAAGAAATTAATCTCTACCATTTTCAGTGGATCAGTCAATTTTAATATCCTATATCCCGATATTTTCTCTTATCAATTTAAATGCCATCAACATTTATGTATTAACGACAGAAATACATCTGTTATTAGTATTTTCAAAGTTGAGGATCATGGAAACAATTTTAGTGGCAGTGACTGTTATCCTATTAGCTGTTAGTGACATAGGTAAGCAATAATAAATTCTCTGAACTAATGGCATATTAATAAATATAATTTGTCATTTTCTAGATGCCAATTGTTACGGAGGGTGTCCAGCCGGTTATTGCTGCTCGTCTTATGGATTGTAAGCTTTTTCAATGCTAGTTCTTATAGATTTCATATAGAATAAAATGTTCTTCATTGTAGCTGCGGTAATACCGCTACGTATTGTGGAGGAGCATGGACCGGCGCAGTTGCTGCCGTAGGCAATTGCCAGGTTAGTGGCTGTGCGAGTGGACTGTGTTGTTCACGATATGGCTAGTAAGTCTATGATTTGCTTCTAAATATGAAAATGTTGTATAACTTTTGAAAAATGATTTTAACAAATACCTTTTTTGTGATTTAACAGTTGTGGTACTGGTGTTGACTTTTGTGGTGGTTCAGTTTGGCAAGGTGGCTCAGGAGGAAACTGTGCAGCGACTGGATGTGCAGCTGGATTATGTTGCTCTCGTTACGGATAGTAAGCCTATATTAAACAACAATTTTATTTATTGTTCGAGATATTTTTTAACGATCTAGTTGTGGAAATACGGCCGAATATTGTGGAGGTAGTGGTTTGACTGGTTATGGAAACTGTGCCGCATCGGGTTGTGGTTCTGGTTTATGCTGCTCCAGTTACGGATAGTAAGTTTTTAAATGCGAATAACAGTTCCTTTATCCATGATCACTCAACTTTTATGCAATAGTTGTGGCAACGTCGCTACTTATTGCCCATGGTATCGTAAATCGTCTTCAATTCCTGTTCCTGACCTTGATGGTGTAACACATGCTGGCGTGGCTACGTTATATAGCGTAAATCCTAATTATGTGTACACCGCGTGCGGTTTAAATTACACAGCTGATGGTTATGTTGCCGCATTGAATTATGCTCAGTTTGATCCGTTTACAATAAATGGAATTCCAAGTACAAATCCGTCATGTAATAAGAAAGCATTAGTTACAGGACCGAATGGAACTGAAATTACAGTGAAAATAGTTGATCGATGTCCAAAAGAAGGAGATTGTAATAAAGGTAAATAGAAAACTTCAATTAAAATATCTTTATCTAATATATATGTGTCTTTTCAAGGCGATCTCGGCTTAACATTATCCGCCTTCAAAGCTCTCGCTGGTGATCATGTCGATGACATAGGATCAGTTAAAATTGAATGGAAGTTTGTTTGATTTTTTTCACAATGAGCATGAATATATTTGTGAAATTTTTGTAGATTCGATATAATTTTTATGTAGAAAATAAAATACGCGTAACAAATTTATGAATAAAAAGTGACTAATGTCAATTGAAATTTTGCGGCCGAAAGTAATAGAAAAATTAGAAACTTTGGGTTCTACAAACTACAAAAACATCAGGAAATATAGCAACTATCTGACGTACAGAAAGTATAATAACAATAGAAGTTATGGAACCAATTTATAGTTTCATGTTTTCACCCACTATTTGTACTTTTGACTTTTGAACTGGACAAAAGCGTGATTGAGCCTTCCAAATACCAGATGAATCCATAACTTTCAATACAAGTTATATGTGTCGATCGAAGTTAGATGTGTCGGACAGTCATTTTGCACTCACTTTCAGTACACACACACACGCCACCACTCTCGCCCTTCCGATCATCTTCAGTTAAATAACGAAAGAATTGTTTCTTAAATATGTATATAAGGATGTTTGAAAGTTTAAAACATGGTATGTGTGGTATTTACGCATTGTAGTATGTGTGGTATTTATAGATTGTGGTATGTGTGACATTTACAAGTTAAAAAGGTTATGTAGTAAAACTGCGACCTTTATACGTACGTAACAATTATAGCAACAGTTAACAGCTCCTGAAATGGATTATCTGTACCAGATCTTTTCAAGTGAGGTACTGCTCCTTAGACGCTCACTTTCACTTCCCCGCCCGTGGCTACGTACACATTTTGAAATACTATACGAAATTGTTGATGTGAGCTATAGGCAGATTTCTGGCCCACTATTTTTCTACGGTTTTCTACACGCCCCTTTACCTATCAGAGTTTTCCATAAATGAGTTATTTATTATCATATATGATCGGAAATTTACTTTAATCGGTGTTGTGAGCGTATTACACAGATTTTGAACAAGTATATCCCATCACACAACTACTAGTACCGGTGCAGAGTGCTGACAAGGATTAGCAATATTGGCTCGATATCTTCTGTCTAACTGACAAGCTTAATTGCACGGCGAGCAAGTCGAAAGATAATTATATTGAAATTTTAGAAATGGCGTAGATTCATCTGCTTCGACAAATCATGCTTTTTCATCCTCATTTCGATGTCTTGTACCAGTGGTAATACAACTATCGTCTCAGATTGTTTTATTCATCTACGGTCTACTCAATTATTATCAGACATATCGTAACATAAAACAGCTCGCTGAAGAAACATCGTACAATCTACTGTTGTGAATCATTAGTTTATTGCACGGTCGTATCTTGCCGCTATAACATATTGCTACTATACCGTTGTTTGCTCAAATTTTAAAGAAAATGGCTCTAGAATCGCAGACTATACAGATAGTTTCTTTATTCTCTATTCGTAGGTCAATAATTACATCTACAACAACTATGTGCAAACAATTCAACTGTTTCTATTATGTTAATGCGATAGAAAATTCATGGAATCTCTTATGTTTTTTTTCTGGAGAAGATAATTTCATTCCACGTAAATAGTTTACTTCCGCTGAATTCTATTATTTTAATGATAAATTTCTAACGTTTTTGGCACTTAAAACGTCGATCAAACATTTTCTCGATACGAATATCAAAGTGGACGTCTACAGGTGAATAGCTGTCCAAAAATTCAGTTGCATAATGAGCTGTCTTACAGTGAATGATCTCAAAATATGGAATAGATAATGTTTAGAAAAAAGCAGTGAACTATTCAATTTTTATCAACTTAACAATTTATTGGATAATGTGAAGGTTTTTAGAGAGCTAGAGATCATTTGGATGAAACTCATTGTACGAGATTAATCTAGCTGCTATTTAAATAAGCATTAAGAACGTATGAAAGACAGAGCTCGATTATTTTGAAATTTACAAAAACAAAAATACTGTTCGACATACAAAAATACAAAAATATTTAAACTAATGAGCGCTTTTCCAAAATAACTAAAAATATCTAGTACCTAGAAAAAGCATTGCAATAATCTACTCTCTGGGCCTTAAGGGTTTTCGACCTTGCCCTATTCGATGGTGTCATTTCTGGATTTGGTTAATTCTGACTTGATAGTGGACTTTTTGAAAATCGAGTTTTTGAGCACAAGGCTTTCGGAAATATTGAAATTAAAAATATTTGCCGTTATCATTTAGTTTTTTAAACAAGTCATTCGACCGAGTTCTCTTTTAACTATTTAAAACAGTTTTTGATTTGGAAAAACTTAAAACCTGAATGTTTATCAAGGATTTCTGGCTGAAAGTGGAGGGCTCTTAGAAGATCTTCTATGATGATTAAACACAAAGTTCTATTATGATTTCATTATCTGATAGTAGACAATATGCACTTAAGACGTATATGGTTGTGGATTTCGGACCCAGATCCAAGGTGATTTTCCAGAGGTATTTAAGAAAACCATCAATCCAAAAAATAGAAGACAACGTAAACATTATTAATAGAAGTAGGCAATGATTTTTCAATAATTTTAATAACTAATAATGCATCTGTGTAGAATTTCATTCCTTTGTAACTTTTTTCATTTTTAAAACATGCGCATAATAATGAAATAATAATAGAACTTTGTGTTTAGTCATTGTAGAAGATCTTCTAAGATCCCTCCACTTTCAGCCAGAAATCCTTGGTAAACATTCAGTTTTTAAGTTTTTTCAAATCAAAAACTGTTTTAAATAGATAAAAAAACGTCTGTCGCACCACTTGTTTAAAAAACTAAATGATAACGGCAAATATTTTTAATTTCAATATTTTCGAAAGTCTTGTGCTCAAAAACTCGGTTTTCAAGAAGTCCACTGTCAAGTCAGAATCAACCAAATCCAGAAATGGCACCGTCGGATAGGGCAAGGTTGAAAACCTAGAGGATATGTCGCTTTATCTACTATTTACGCGGTTAGTATATATTAGGAAAGACGCTCATTCGTTTTTTACTATAAACGATCACAGCTAAAAATACTAGCAAGATTATCATACTACACAAAACACAAAAAATTTTCCTAAATTTATTTAATTTTGACTTATGTGGGTAGTAATTCAGAATGCAGGGAGTACGCTCAAATTCAACAAACAGAATTTAGTAAACAAAACGAATGAATTTGCCAAATAACTAATTTTAATCCAGTTTTTTTCAAATAGTATTCTATTTGGTATTGCATTTACTAAGATCATTCAGTTTTCCTAATATTAGACAATTGCGTTTGACGTTCTTTAAACTTTTCCCGTAATATAATCAATACCTGAACTAAGACGATATTGTTCAAGTAATTGTTTGGCAATGGGTAACCATTTTTGAGCGGTTGAATGTGGTATCTGTAACCATGTCCCCAATCCTCTCAGCAATATTCCGACTCTTGCTGCCATCAAATACCCTTGAGGTAGTTCAATTACTTGATCTATCTGACTTAATTTTTCGAAAAATAATTGTGCATTCATTCCTTCACAAACCTCTGGATCATCACGATCAAAACCTACAAATAAAGATAATAACAATTCTAATTAAAGTAAGATATCCATGCCTTCCACTCATCTGAAGTGTTATATTATAGTTTAAACGAGTTTTTAAAGATTTTTTTCTTTAAAACTCATTGGTAAAGTATCTGTTCTTATATCTGCTTACCTAATCTTGCCAATTTTTCTAGTACATAAGGGTTCATAAACTTAGTCTTTGCGCCCATCTGACTGTAATGTTGTACAATTTCATCCCTCGTTCCTTCTGCCAGCAATACAATTAACTTTGCTAGTTTCAAACGTTGTTCTAATGTCAATTCTTGTACTTGACCAAAATCGATGAGGCCAATTTTACCACTTTTTAACAAGAAGACATTACCAGGATGTCTAAAACATTGAGAAACGATTTTAATGAATGATAAGATCAGTTCGTTTGATGTATAAAAGGCAGGTGTTAATAGTAGAGCCGTCAGATAAACTAATAATGTAACCTACGGATCTGCGTTAAAAATACCATCTAATAAAATTTCATGCGCATGTACGTCATTCAATAAATCGATAATTTCACGAGGATTAATAATAACACGATGTTCAAAATATTTAACTTTTTTATGAAGTATCCAACCAAATGTATAATTATAACTGAAAATAGAAATAAAACAAAATAATTCTAATATCATTGAGCTTGTCAGTTATTTTAAAGTAGCAGTAACTCGAGAATGAATGTAAATACGTCCTACTCTTACCTAACTATGAATAAATTAGCTATATTTGTTATCGTTTTGAGTAGAGTTCCGTATGTTTGAACTAATAATTTTGATGGTGCATTTCGTTCCTTGTACAATTCTCCACTCAGATATTTTTTCATCATTTCATCTTCAAATTGTTCAAGAGTTTTTCCTTGTGCTTCTGCCATTTTAGCTTGTTCAATTTTCAAACCATCAATCAACTTGATTCCATCTAGTTTTTCCATAACTAATACGTATTCTGACGATAAATTTCGAATTGGTCTCGGTATAACAACATTTTTATATTTTGGCATGATATTTTTACCTAAATTAGAAATCAAAAGATAATTTATTAACATATAAAAAACATTAAAATTTAATATCTGAAATGTTCTATGCTACTAACTTCTTTGATATTTTGATAAAAACAAACTTCATCTCTAATCACTTACCGATTATGTCTAATGCTTTTGCTTCCCGCCTAAAATCGAATTCAATCTGAAAAGATCTTTCAAACTCATCGAATAACGGTAAGTGTTCTGGTTGAGCTAATCGTACAAATCGTTTCAAAGTTGAAAAATCAAGTTGAAACAGTCGTCGCACTTCAGGATATTGAATTTTAATAATCACTTCTTTTCCGGATGATTTCAATTTGGCTTCGTGAGCTTGTCCAATTGTAGCTGCGCCTACTGCTTTTAGATTAAATTCGGAAAATAAATTGTCAATTTTTTGGTCAAATGCTTTCTCAATCATTTCTATGGCGTACTCTCCTGATTGTGGTGGAACCCCATCTTGTAGTTGGGCAAACTTTTTCAAATAAGGTTTAGGAATAATGTCTGGACGAGTGCTGGCAATCTGTCCTAGATTAATGAAAGTAAAAATAAATCAAATGATAATTACAGAATAATTAGATTTGACTTCAGATACACATAGTGGTACTTCTCTGGGCTATTGTACTTGATTGTGATCGAAAATTTTATTACCTAGTTTAATATAAACTCCTCGTTGATGCAACACAAGATTGTAAACATAATCGCAGTATTTATTATGTAAATAGTTCCACTGTTCATCTTCTTTGTCTGATGGTAATACTTTGAAATAAAGTTGTTGATAACGATAATGGATGTAAACAGGCGTCATATGACTCCAGAAATAGGTAGTACGACGAATTTTTTCTTCCAAAAGAGGATGCTGATTATGTACATAAATAGTCAAACCACTTGCTGAGAGGAGGGTAGAATAAAACAGTCCCTTAGATATTCGACGAAGTACAGATGGCTTTGTTTTTGATTTTGATGACACGAAACGAACTTGAGGGATTCGTGTGCAAGGATAAATGAACACGCGATTTGCTAATAGACGATACATTCCTCTCTAAAACTAAACACAAAAACAACAATGAAAGCGTCGATCCCGTGGAAGTTTGTCCCATATGATGATTCGCTTCTAAGGTAACGTTCTATCATACTGTGGAAAACAACGTTAATCAATCCTTGACTACGTATACTTTGCGGAAACTATACCGTTGATATTATAAGGTTTAGAAATTAGTTCAACTCTGCTTTCAGATGTCAGTAAAACTGGTAAATAATGGCCGAGAAGTCTCGGAGTATCTCGGAAACTAGACATAAACGAATATATACATGCTTCTCTTGCAAAAAAATACAATGTGTGAAGTAAATGTTAGATAGATGCTTATTAAGTAAAAGAGATTACGTGCGGTCACAGTACCCTAAACCGACTCCTGTATGCCCATACGTGTTTTTAATGGGTTGATAGTGATCTCATTCAACTAGCACGCGCTTTTTTTAGACTATTAACAATTTGTAAAAGAATCAAGCTTTGTACGGTACAAGGAGGTGCAAAAGTTCATTCTAAATATTGTCAGTCTGATAGATGAACACTTCCAAAGAGAAAGTGATCATTGACAATAGTGAAAAACTTGGGACAAAGACCCACAAAATAATGAAATATTTATTCTGTGCACCTTCTTGAAAAGTTTTGTATAATCGTTTCGTTAAATGCCTGCGGAGGATGTTTCATAAAAAGTGTATAAAATTAACACGTAGGTGTACAAAACGAAGACTTAAGTCGAGCACCTAAGAATTTATATGAAACATCCTCCTGAGCTATTCGAAAAATGCTTCAATGACTTAAATGTTCGGACTTAACTTTGAGACTACATTTCCCACGGTTTAAAATTTTTTGTAACATGGTAACACTTAAGTCCAAAGACTCAAGTCTGACTAAAACCTCGGTTTAAGGCTTAAGCCTGACTTAAAACTTTTCGTAATAGGACCGTTTGAAAGCACGACTGATCCGTTCAAATTTTTCATCATCAAGACAGCTGCAATTTCATTCCCCGAAAAATGGCGTATTAACCTAGAGCGATAGATGGCGTTTTATTTCAAGCTGCATGTTGCCTTCTTTACTAGTTTGTTTACGAACCGTCGTAACTCATAACATAAAACCCGTTGGCATTCCTTCACAAGATAGCATAAGGATCATAAACTCAAAGAAGAAAGGTGAAATCTAAACCTCAGAAATATTCGATGAGATCCAAATGAGAACTTCAATTTGATATTCAATTGCATGACCATATTCGCCTTGATCAAGTAGATCATTACCAATACTCCCAGGAGTGAGAAAATTGACAAAAAAACGCTGTTTTGTTGTCGTTTAAGGGCGTTTTTTTATTCTGCTCGTCTGAAAAAGCGTTTTTCGCAATTTCATAACGCGTTTTTCGATGAATGTGAACGACAATGAAAACGTTAATTAATGCGTTTGAAAAAAATGGGTCATTTATGAAAAAAAATCGATCATACCAATATTACATGTGCGCAGTAAAATGACTGTAAAACCCAAACGATATGCAGAACCAAATTCTAATTTTGTCGAAAACTGTATGAATATGAGCTCTATCTGCCACATTCATGTGGAGGTGTAGTATCGAGTTTTATCATAAAATTGCGATATGCACCACATCTGATAGAAAAATCTTTTGGCTATTCAAAATAGTATTCAGATTGGTTCCAGCTTTTACTGAAAAATCAAAAACAAAGAAGTTCTTGTGATTATGAAACGCTGTGCTGCATATATAACACCCAAAAGCTTCTTTTGCATATCTTTAATGACTGGTTCCATCTGTCTAGATATTTTGACCAGCCGAATCTCGACTCTTCCTCAATCATCAATACCGATTAAAGACCAAGAACATGGTGACACCCATATCTCGGTAACCAGAAGGTATTAACCAAAACCAATACAGATTTAGATCCGTCGCGAGAAGCTCTACAAAATCTGATATATAGCTTTCTGGCTCGACATACTTTTGAAATCCGACAGGGTCCTTTTTTTTTGGTCGAATGATGTCTCATTCAACGCATCATCAGTCATAGTACTTTTGGTAAAAGAATCTCGACGCAGACGCAAGACTAGGTTATTACTTAACCGCAAATACTAGTTTTTCGGTGTATGCACTTTTTCGAAGTTTTGACCCTAGAAAAGCCACGTTAAGTCGGAATGACTTGAAACTTTTAGCACTAAGTCTCTATTTGATCCTCTGCCAAACAAAATCTCAACCGACTCTGTAGCCCTTTTTATGACAAAATTACGCCGATAATACTGAAAAGTGTATCAGTGTAATATCGAAAAATGATCATTTTTAATGGACCCCAATGTTCAGACGTACAGCGCTCTGTGCCAAAGGGCTTTCAAAACGACTTTTGAATAGTTTCGTGAGGAACTTGTATACCCTCTTTCAGAATCTGTGATCGGAAACGAATATTGAGATCAAAGAGGTAGGAAATATATCCGAAAACGTGGTTTTCTCATCGACTGTCTCTTAAACTGCAAGCTTTATAGTGCATCAATATAACAGAAACGGAAAGTATGTTGATCTTCTAGTTCTAGTGTTTCTACAATCTATTGAAGCTTGTATATGTGATTATTGTTATTTGAACCACGTTTTTACAACAACTCAATTACTAATTTCAGTAACAAAAACAAAGAGAGGTGAAAACAAAGATATGAAAATTTTCTAAGTTTTTGACATATTTTTTCCTCCACTTCTGGAGCTTATGGCTCTGCATCCAAGTTATTTTTAAAAAAACGAACATTCAATTCTCAATCTGCAGCGTCCAGAAAACTTTTTCCCGTTTTCAAATCTTTTCTATGTTGCGTAATTCTCTAGATCACGTCGTGAAGATTTCGCAAAAGAAAATGACTAAACAAAAAAATTTTAATGTCTGTCGACATAATAATTGTGCGTCGTGCTCTCACAATTTCTTCGTCCATCAAATATAAAATAGTGCCTAGGCTGAAAACAACCAATATACGGTCTTCTTTTGCAATTAAAAAACTGAATGTTAAACGTTACATCTATGCAAAACTACAAGCTTGGAAAACTGAAATATGACCAGTCATAAATTCGTACAATTCATCAACTTGATCGGTTTTTTGCTAGTAAATATTTATTGTATTGTCGTGTGCAAGCTGTAATAAAAAAACCAGTTAGAGAAAAGAGAAAAATCTGAAATTGAAAAAGGAGATTGAAGATTGTATCGATGTATATAATTTGAATAAAAACGCTAATGAGGCACGGCACACAGTATCGAAAAATATACAAGTGCATCCTAACAAGCATATAACACAAATAAATTCATACAGAACCTTATTATAACTTAATTAAATTTTTAATACAACGAAGAAAGATAAATTATTCTAAAAGACTACCTGTGCTTGTTTGCAAAAAGAGAAAGAAACTACCCATACAAAAATAGCTAACAACAATGACAAAAAAAATAATTATTATAATTAAAATTGTTTTTAAGACTAGTGATAAAATAACGGTCAGATCTTCAAACGTAGACAAATATAGCTGTGTATAGTTTCACAGCAGTTGTTGTGTTTTGAACAAACCGTGCGAATCTATAATTCATTTATCTTCCCAGTATCGATAATGTTTATAATATCTTGCAGTTGTTTTAATCAGATTGTGTTTATTTCAGTGTTCTCTACAATCTAGTATTGATCACATTTACGATCTTTGTCTATTTTTAAAAATAGAAATTATCACTTTTCTTTGGATTTAGTTGAAACATAGTAAGAAGAACAATGATGATGAGTAGTCTGATGCCATTTAGAGAAAATGACGCAAAAGAACAAGAAAAAGCGAACTACTGTGGCCACCGTAGGACGATGTTATGTCTCATGGCCAGTTAAATGTCCCTTGTATGGCCGAATCACATGAATATATGGATAATAAAGTCAAAGTATTACCTTTCAATGGCATACTTCATTAGACTTTGCCGATGAACGATTCCCTGTCATATCGTGACTGTAAGGGAAAGCCGTGATTGTAACGTAATGTGTCCTCACTTGAAATTGTCCATATATTCTGTGGTTCTAAGTGGAGCGAGTTTCCACTATAATTTGAGCGAACCATAATTGACAAGCTTAACCATTAAAAATCTATACCAGTTCTGAAAAAGGATGGACTACTAAAAAACATGAGAAGGGTTGTGCTATTCAACGAACACAATATTGGAAACACTTTCCTTAGAAAAGACGGCGTACAGGTAATGCAAGAACAGAAAATCAACAACGAAACTTCTCAAACGCGTAATTGTAGAGAAAACAGCAGAAAATTTAAGACAACCGTAAAATTTGGTGGGTGGTGCGAAGGATGTACACACACACACCCAAAAAATAATAAAGAGCTGTCATTTTCTCTTAGTGGAAACTGAAACTTTTTGCGTTTTTTTGCTCGTAGGACGAAATTTTTTTTCTTACACCCGCTCCGCTCCCCACCTACCCAGAAAAATTTTTCGATGCGCGATGCATTAAAATTTGTTTACCCCTCTCTCTTCAAAGTTGACTTCCTATTTACGGCCCTGTTTCAAGATAGATATTTTACTGGCTGGCTAAGTATGGATGCTCATATGACCTAGCCAAAATTTGACCTGAAGATCAACGAGATAGCAATGACTTTGTACCGTAGTAGAGCATTTAAAGCAACATTAAACCTTCTGCTGTCCATTTAATTCCTAAAATTTTGATAGCGACGATATATAACAAGTTTGTATGTGCAAGATTTCAGCTTAATATGTAAGATTCAATCATCATTGTCATGTACTTTTATGTGATGTAGATTTCTAGTAACCAATTTTTTTCTTTCATCTGAAGTCGTTGATCTACTATATAGCGTTCCTCAGTGGAAAAAAGATCGTGGTAAAAGATAATGATTATTTTCATATTTAATGAAAAGGTTGAGAAATTTTCAAAAAATACGAACATCTTTTTTTAAATAAGATTACAACAAACATTTATCATGGATGATGTGGTCAATGTAACCACATCGTATAATGAACGTACAGCATTCAGCAGTATATGGCAGGCTCTCGCATGGACACAAATTCGAACACGAATACCAACATGTTTCAAAAAGTCAATTCGAAACAAAGACATATTGGCCAGTTTGGTTTATCTAGTAAGAGAGCATTTTCTCACTATTTCGATCAAAAAGTTTCTTCCAGTTATTATTATTCGACCTACCTAATTAAATCTACCCAGTATGCCATTATTGTGTGTAATAAAAAGCAGTTCAATGCGGTTTTCACCACTTTGCAGAGAAGATCTGACTGCATCTTCTGATCTATATGGTGGCTGCAAAGACCTGGCAGCAGTTTTACTGAAACCCGCCTAGGTCTACTGGTTTGGTTAGGTCTACTAATCTTAAAAACATTTCTAGACGTAGGTTATCGACCATGTTAATTCTAGAGGCAGCAGTTATTTTTAGAAGGAGACTCAGAAGCCTAACAAAAACGTATAGTAGGTGAAATAACACATTTTGGACCTCCTTTTACCGAAAATTAAATAAATCATAACTTGGTTAAATCAATCCAGACCACTCAAAGATTTCAGTTTTTATTCCATTTTGTCTGCTGTATATTATGAATTTTAACTACAGTTTTAAAAATCAGTAGAAAGTACTTTGGTTTTTGAAGGATTTGCCAGAAATCTGTGAAAGTAATTAAATATGTTTACAAATTTTAATCGCAGGTTCAGGTTTATCAGACAAAACGGAATAAAAACTGAAATCTTTGAGTGGTCTAGATTGATTTTAACCGAATTATGATTTGTTTAATTTTCCGTAAAATGTGGTCCAAAATGTGTTCTTTCACCTACTATACGTTTTTGTTAGGCTCTTGAGTCTTCTTCTAAAAATAACTGCTGCCTCTAGAATCAACATGATCGATAACCTACGTCTAGAAATGTTTTTAAGATTAGTAGACCTAACCAGACTGAGATAGGTGGGTTTCAGTAAAGGTGCTGCCAGGTATTCACTACAAACAATATTAATTTGTTCTCATAAAATATGTCCTTAATGACATTTTTATCTACCAAACACGCGCAGTTTATGTTTGATGTCATTTATTGCTTAACCATATTTGTAGTGTATAGATGAGCTTTCTTTTATAACTCGTCTCCTCCAGTTCACCGCAGAGTGCTAGAGTTTCAACATTGTTGAAATAGCAGGAAACATGTTTCGGTGAACATGATTCGCTATATGTGAGTTCTGATCGTTTTCTTAATATCATTTTGATGTTCTTCCATTCCAGTAACTCTTTTTCTATTTGTTTCACCTACATAATAACTACCACAGTTGTTGCATAGTATTTTATCCACAAGTTTTTTATGTTGTTTACTACTATATTTTCCTTTTTGTGTAGTGCACTCTTCAATGTGAATGTGTTTTTGAATGCAATATTAACTTGAATTAATGGTAGTAATTGTTTGCATATTTTCTTCACTCTTTCAGCAAATACTAGTGATTTTTACATAAAAATGGGTATGCACTGAGACCTATCATTTCTTCTATTGATGCGTACAATTCCGAACTATCAAAATATCTGGCTCAACTGGTAACCGAAAATCGTTCATCTCAATCCTTCTCTAATGTCAGAGGCTCTTTTCAATTCGTCAAATAAATAATCGGGATGAAAAGTCGTAAGAATCAAATCGTAGTGAGTTTTGATGTCGATGTCCTATATACTAATGTTCCAGTTAAATATTTCTCTCTTTGTCATATGTTTTCCTGCTGATGGTATGAGTACATACCGACAGCTCGAAAATAAGTAAAATAACAAGTAACGTTAGTTTAAATTCAATATGTATTTCGTGGCAGTTTTATACTCGATTTATACTTATTTATTCTCTACTGCTACTCCGACTTCAAGTTACAATAGTAGATACTAGGTAGATTTAAAATAATTAACAAAAGAGAAAAAAATAATAATCAACTTCTCTGAGACTTTAACAATTTTGAACTACGCTTTTCAGATGTCTCTAGCGCGAAATACTTAGATAAATGGGCTATATCCCAGGGCGAGGTGTGTAAATCACAACCCGACCAGCAAAATTTGAGACAGTTAAATTGCAACAAAATCCACTTTTTGGGTTATTTCCACACATTTTTTCTTTTTACAGTGAGGGCTAATTATTAAAACTTGCACGTGAGGACAAGTTTTTTAAAATCACGTCACAATCGCGGTTTTTAGGAAAAATTTTCAAAATTTTTGTAAGTTCAGCAATTCATTACCAGAAGATTGTCTTATGAATGTCTGGATCATCATTTTATATTAATGACCCACTAATGTCTGACTAATGATCACCCGTCAAAGTCTACTTGCAAGAATTTAATTTGATCCGAATATTTTCCTTGTATCTGTTTAAACAGAAAACTAGGCATATCTTACGAAATAATGCCAGTTTTTATAATTCCTTAGGGTTATACTATTGGAATATTAATTATTGATTTCAATCCAAACATCAATCCATTGGCATCGGGTTCAAATAGTAACCAGAGTGGCTATAATTGCTCAAATAACAGTACAAACCCTACTGCCGAAATATTTTATGGAGCAAATACACCATTGGCTAATAAGTTGTTTTTCGGTATATGACAAGTAAAATCATGCGTTGAGTGATCGGCTTAAATATTTATTATTTAGGCTTCGCAATTGTTTACGTCATCTCAGCCTTTATAAATTGGTGGGCTCTTCAAGATTTTTTATGGTTAGATGTCATTATGATTCCTGAATATTTGAATTTGGTTGAAGCTGTTTTATATCTGTGGAGTTCAATATGGTATGTCAAACAAGTATCATTCAATGATTATTATACCATGGGAGTGCATAAAATAGAAATAACAGCAGCATCGGTCGACATAGTCGCATCATTTGGATGGTAAGTAGTAAATGAATGAATTGCATAGTCATTGTACGATTTAAGAAAAAAATACGATAAAAGAGAGTTTCGAATAAAAAAGACTGAGTCGTACTTTTAATAGGGCTATGTCGATTGTACATAAATATAATATTTTCCCTGCACTATAGAGTTTGATAAGGCTCTGATTCAATGATTTTCAAGAACTACCCAATCCTTAATGCTATTGTTTTTAGAAAACTGCATTATCGAGGAAAAAATGTTTATTGTTGTATTAAAATAAAAGACAACGTATAGACACACAACTTTTTTGTGATTGTAGGGAAATAGTTCAAGTTTTAAAGGATTGTATGATGAGTTGAAATTCGAAGTTATTTTAGTCGAAATATAGACAAAATAATCTCGGCAGACATATTTTAGGAAAAAATTCTCGGTGGACGTTTTCGATGTAAAATGAGATTTTCTCTGGTTCTTGTTGTTTTCGGAGTCATTGTGAAACACGCTTCGAATGACTAGTCGTGAAGCGTTTTACCAGAGTCCATCTTAGCCGTCAAATTTACGTTGCCCGTCCACTACGTGGAAGTGAAGGGTTGGATTTTGTACTCAATTAACAAGTCAAGCTAAAGAGTTGAGATTTTTACTAAATATTTTCGGCAGGAAGTAAAAAAAAGGTAAAAGTTTGGGGTCTAAGGGATAAACTGTTCCGGAGTTATAGACCAAACAATTTTTAAAATCTCGGTGGACATTTTGTACAAAAAATCAGATTGAGTATATGCTTCATCCTGATTTTTGAATAAATAAGAAGCTCTAAAATTTTTCGTTTTTTGCCAAAATGTAGAACTTGTTACGCTCTATCTTTCTGTCTGTTTCAAAAACTTTTTGAGAATTCTCATTACCATATGAATCTAGTTCTAATCTCGGTGAACAGAGTTTTGCAAAATTGTTTTGATACAGAGGTTTTTGATAGAATCAGATCCAAACCTTATTTTATTTTAATTTAAAGTACATATTCTGAAAACCTGCTTTTCAGGCTACAAGAAACTCTAAAAACGTTTTAGAGCAAGGTTAAATAAATGAGAGAAAAAAGTGGATTCTTTCTCCATATGAAGCCCAAAACGGTTTTGGTCTTGTTCAAGGTACATCTCGGTATCCCCTTGATATGGAGAGTTCTTTTATTCATAAGTGAATGACCATTTCTAAACAATCAAAATAGTAAAAAGAAATTTAAAATCTCTTGAGCGAAATAGCTTTAAAAGCAAAACATTCACTGACAACCAATCGTACAATGTCTACGCAATTCATTCAAATACAGTTTACACGAGAAACGAGATTCTCCAAGCATGACCAGATCTTAATATGTTTTAGGCTAATGTCATGGTATCGTACGTATACTAGAACCCTTGGTCGCGGTTTTACATTAGATGATCCGGATACCATGGGTAATTTGTGCACAACCACTGCTTCATTTATTTATATCACTTACAACATTCAACTAAATATTCATCCTGAAAAATATGGATTAAACACCCTTTACACGAAAGGAGATATTTTTTACTTTATCGGTGCATGTTATTTTTTATTCGGTTGTTTACGTGACGATAATTGGTTTTGGTTTTTTCCACTTGCTGGACAATATGGGATAGCAAGTGGAAAGTTAAATGATTCAGTAAACGTCCAAAAGCCGATTCAACAAGGTTTAGAACCGTTGCTTATCACAGATGTGCTTTGTTGTCGAAAACGACAGAACAATCTATCGAAACAACAGATTGTTGAAGAAAACAAAGCGTCCACGTATGGCAATCATTTAAATAAGACATTTCAAATGAACGATACACTAAAAATTGCATCCCTGTCTCACGAAGCCTCTAAGATCGAGAACGAAAAAATAACACGTCTATAATTCATCTATCTTCCCAGTATCTATCGTGTTTTAATACTGTGGTTTTTGTTTCAGTGTTCTCTACAGTTTAGTATTGATCATATTTACAATCGTTGACTATTCTGATATTTTCTTTTTAAAAATAGAAATTATTATTTTTCTTTGGATTTAGTGGAAAAAAAAAAACACTTGAATCTAAACCTGAGGTTTGTTTGTAAACGTATGTTTGGGTGTTGGTGCTAGTATTTCATTCCGAGTACCTGAGGTTTAGGTTCCAACGGGTGTTGGTGTGTTATTGGACGCGCTCTATAGATCTAAAATGGTCTCGGGCAATTTCGGAGTGGTGGTAGGTGATGGTATCTTTTACAAATACTCATCTTTACTCACATATGTTTTCAAACTGGCTCTACATGAACAAATCATTGGGATTGCAATGAGTCGTCTGGCTTTAATCCATTGAGAAAAATTCATCCATTGTGGTAATATCGAACATCTGGTTTTACTACACCTTAAATTCGTGGATCACATCAGTGGAAAACTATATCAGCCACTTTACTGGCTTTTCATCTGGAAAAGTGGATGATTTTCCTTTGTTCTCATAAAAGTGTGTGAAAGCCGTGATTGAAGTGGATGATTCCCAGTCATTTACTGCATGACGACTTACACACTTTCATCCACTAAACTGATGCTTATTATCAGTTAACGTGGTTAGGAGTCATCCACTTCAATCACAGCTTTCACACACTTTTGCAAAAACAAAGGAAAATCATCCACTTTTCCAGATGACGAGCCAATAAAGTGGCTGATACGATCATCCACTGACGTGATCCACGAATTCAATGTATTGTATCTTTTCGTGAACAAACCGGGCACATTTCTTTTTTCCGGGTACAAAAATACATAAATATTTTTATGTGCGCTAATTCTGGGCACAAAAATACTCGTCCAAAAATAGTAAGAAGAAAAATGATGATGCCATTTAGAGAAAATGACGCAAAAGGACAAAAAAAGGAAAACTACTGTTTAGTTCAAATGTAAAATTGATGAATTCATAATTCTAACGTACGACTCCAACAACTGTGTAGTGTTGTTATGTGCTTTGCTTTTCTTCTGTTCTATCCTAGTCTCTCTCTCTCTCAACTGTGACCACTTTAGGACGATGTTATGTCTCATGGCAAGTTGAATGTCCTTGTATGGCCGAATCACATGAACATATGGATAATAAAGTCAAAGTATTACCTTTTAATGGCATACTTCATTAGTATCGTCTCACTCTCTCACAGAAACAGTAGATGTCTATTCAGAAAAGAGGGCTTTACCAATTTTGGTTCGATTCGCTGTCGTACATCGAAATACAAACCTCTTTTGCATTTCATTTCAAATGTTAAGATTTTAGGAATTGGTCAACTGAACGGACTGTCCAAATAATTCTAAATGTTGTAAGTGCGGCCAAGAACATCATTATAATCTGAAATGTGAATTTGTCGCTGTAAAAAAATACATATAACACGACTATAATGTGTCACATGTGTCGTGACATTTGCTGTTCTCATAAAAAGTTTCGACAAATTTCAGGCTGAACAAAAATTCCAAAAGTCTGGCGGGCAGTATCAGACCTTATGGTGAGAAGATCCTCTGCTTCCCCACCCTAATCGGAAACCTTGTAAGGGACAACCACCGCATTCTATTTGTCAACCGGATAAGGATGACATAGTGGAGGGTTTACTAACACACACTACAATAAACAGCAAAACGAAACCGTCAAGGGTCAAACATACTCGGCATACATTAGCAAAAAGTGGCTTACGAATTTTGTTGTCTGAATGATACAAGTACAGCTTGTCAGTTAAAAAGTTACAGTTAATAATATAGAATACATCTATACTCAACAGAACAGATCCAGCAGTGACTCTCTACTCTCTACATTTATCCTACCGAGTTGTAAATGAGAATTTCTAACAACATTGATTGGAGATAAAAGACTCATTTCATCAAGAACAGTCTAAGCAATGGATTCAGTATCAAAAGATAATGCTGTCAGGGTGTTTTCGAATACGCGAAAGATATTTTGCTTATTTAAAAAGTTGAAAAACAAGAAGAAACAAAACTAGATAGACCAGAATTTGCATCGTTAGTGTATAGCGACATTAGTCATCGGAAGTGAAAAGAGAGCAGTGCACTTTTCTTTTTGTTTATATTTTCATGTTTATGTGTTGACAATGACAGTTAAGGTCAAAAATTTTTAATTTTCAATGCATTAAATTGAAAACAGTTGCACTCGTTATTTCGTATTTGATTTTAAGGTCGTTGTTTCATACCGTAGTGTAGTGTTAGAGAGTGACAATTACATTTAAACAGACACATCATACACATTGAACACTTAAAAACAAACTTTTTGAACTGTTTCGATGCAAAATGTTTTCGTCCATAAGTTAGACAGTAATCTACACCTAATACCCAGAAAGAGCAAAGGCTATAGTTAAGCTTCTTTTTCTATAGAGATACTTTTTTTCTTATTAAAAGTGAACATTCTATTGATTATATAAAAATTAAAATAGAAATTTGTTAGGCTACTAACCAAATAGTTGCTTGAAAGTGTAGAAATACTTTTATTATTTTAATCATCTTATTGTTTAAGTGCACTTATACAAATATAATGTCTTTTTGATTTTTCAAATTCATAATCAAAGGCTTATTTTTTTTGTAATCACCTCTTACTATCCATTGTTCGCTTCCACAAAAAAATGACAACAAGGTAATGCATACAGTCTTTCAACAATTACAAAATAATCTTTTCACTGGAAAATGAACGGTGAATCTATGCAGTATTAACGATTCAAAAGCACATGAAAGAAATAACTACGAATCGATCATCTACAACCGAAGAACAGTCGAGGAATAAAACATGGATCACTTATCTATACATTTTATTTTTTAGTCGTATGTATGGCGATAATTCGAAAAGTACTTATCCTGTTACAGTAGTTGCACCAAAAGTTTTACAAGTGCCAAGCGAATATGTTGGTCCTTGGTCTTATGATATTCATTGGCATGCGCCATTAGACAATTGCACAAGTTCAGAACGTTCGTTTCTCAAGTTTAAATTTAAAAATAACTTCTTGACTGTTCAAATTTTCGTTTTAGTTGCTACTGCTTGTTGTTGTTATCCATGTTATGTATGCTCACTGATGGAGAACGCGGGTGAAGCATCTTACACCGGCTGTTTATGTCCCATAACACTTTGCGGATTAAGAGTTAAATTAAGAGCTGCACTTAGAATTAAAGTACGTTTAAAAGTATACTACAACTCAGTTTTATTTGGAAAACTGAAATCTTTTTTTCTAGGGTTCTTTGTTTAAAGATTGCTTAGTAACAAGTTGCTGTTGTACGACATCATGTGCAGCAATGCAAATGCGACATGAGCTCGATTACAGACAATTAAATGTAAATCACAAACAAGATAAACACAGTTCAACAACTAATTGATTTATTAATATCATTTTCACTCAAAATATCACTCTGTGTAGCAGAAAAAAGAAAAAAACTATTAAACCAAAAGTACATCACATGAACTTTTGTCACATGAGCTCAATCTCAACTTCTTTTCTAAATTTCAAATATTAATGACGGTATATTGCCCACATTTTCGAACAACTCCTATATGATATCCACAGGCTCTGTCAATGGATCTTTCGCTTACAGAGAGATGGAGCTCATGTGATAAAAGTCGTATATAAATTGGTAAAACCTCCTACTCTCACAGGTTACGTAATGACGAAAAGTTAGTTTTTCTACGTCGATTTTCTTTTATTCCTTTATGTTTTTATTAAATATTTTACAAATGCTCATGAAAAAAACTTATAAGAAAATTGCATACAATAGCGTAGTCCCGTTTTACCTTTCTAAACAATGAACCGTATTGTTATTATTAATAAATTATTTATTATGTAACAGTTACACATTCACTCTATCATCCTCATTATATTGTATATCATCACTATTTCAAAAGTGGGGCAAATCCATCTGAAATATCCCATCATTACGGCAACTTGCTCCGCTTCATTTAAAACCAATCTAGTTTTATAGAGCTCATCAAGTTACGTACAAAACTGTCTTTTCTGACTTGATAGCTGATGCAGAAACCGAGAAAAATGACTTTTACTCTCCTAGCAAAATTATCGGATTCGGTGTCACTTTTAATGCAACTTCAACAGTACCGCAATAAGTTTTACAATACGTTCTCCCATTTTTCAGCAAAGCCCTTAACATTTTTCTTAAAGAGTGAGATATTCTCTAAAACTTTGAAGGATGTTCCATGTAAGGTTCGCGAGATACTAAACTTTTAAAATTGAAGTATGTTTGAATTTTATCTCAATATTTTAAATTTCAATTTTAATAAAACAAAAACAACATCCTAACGAAGCGTTTTTCCCTGGTTGGTCGATAGACTGATAGGTTTTCTTGCATTCTCAGTTCGATTATGACCATAAAAAGTTGCATTTCCAAATGTTTATAAGATAGCTGAGGCCACTGTTATTATGATACCACCATTATTAGTAGGTAACTGGCCATTGTTCTTTTTTTCTGACGTAACAGTTTAGTTTTGTAGGGTGGTCCTGAGAGTGAAAAAGCTCAATATCTCCTGAACCTTATCTGGAACATCCTTCTAAGTATTAGAGAATATCTCACTCTTTAAGAAAAATGTTAACGGCTTTGCTGAAAAATGGGAGAACGTATTGTAAAACTTATTGCGGTACTGATGACGTTGCATTAAAAGTGACACCGAATCCGATAATTTTGCTAGGGGAGTAAAAGTCATTTTTCTCGGTTTCTGCATCAGCTATCAAGCCAGAAAAGACAGTTTCGTACGTAACTTGATGAGCTCTATAAAACTAGATTGGTTTTAAATGAAGCGGAGCAAGTTGCCGTAATGATGGGACATTTCAGGTGGATTTATTCAAAGGAAAAGATCAGCTTTTTGTTGATGTGAGTGATTTTCAATCTTGAGTGAAACATACATAACTTCACTAAACAATTGCAAATAATCAGACGATAAGGATATATAGACCTTTTTGCCTCATTTTGCAACCATGCTACGCACAATCAACAGCCTTAGTTTCGACGCTTACTGTTACTATCTGTGTACAGCACCCCCTCGCTTATGAACGACGCCAGCGAACATCCGTGACGTTGTCTATAATGTTCTTTTAACTATATAGCTCGTTATCCTTTAAACTCATTAAGTTAATTAAGGTTTAATCAGCTGCACTACAGATTGTCTTTTTTTCACTTCGATGTGTTGGAATAATTAGAGACTAATGAGACTCTCCGTATTTTGAATCCGACTCAAAAACTACTGAACATCTTTACAAAGTTCTATATCAGTGTGTAGAAAAATGTTGGGTCTAGCAAGTTTTTCTGAGTAAAAGTGGCTAAGAACTAGTCAAAATACGACGAAAATTTCAGAAAGTGTCTCTATTCGTCACAGAGTACTCTATATATTTATTTATTTAAAGAGGATTGTTATGAAGTTTTTCACGATAGTTTCAGATATTTTTAATACACACATGCATAAAAAAATTCCTTACTATTTTCTTCATTATCATTTCTTGCACAATATAGCTTCGTATAATAAATCGTCATCAAGGAATGGACATATTAGGACATACGAAATTTATATTTCCCTTTCCAGGGTTGAATAGTGAGCGATTTTCCAGCTACAATATGTTGCTGTAGAGCTCTCCGCCTTGGAATGCAAATGAAAAAAGAATTTGAACATCATGAGTTGTTTTCGCACGTTTCTGTTAAGCATGATAAAACAGAAGTCAAAAACTAAAAATAAAAAATATGACAATAACAATCGTCTAAAGAATACATGAATATCGTCTAATGGTATTATTTTATCATAATAAAATAAGCAAACAAAAAAATCATAATAATAGGACAAACGTAACCTTATTCATTCCTCCAGTTTATAGGATGTTATCGTTCTAAGATGACAAGTTGATGAATATTTCATTTTTCGTTAGCAGCGCTCCAAGGAACAAAACAAAAGATCAATGTTTTTAGTAAAACAAGCAACAACATTTCAAATGTTTTTACCAACACTGTTTTACCACCCTGTCTCTTATATAAAAAAGACAAAACGTGAGTAAAATTTACAATGTAAAATAAATTGAGCGTTTCCCTGTATTAAAAAATTACATCTGGTATTACAGAAAAATGGACACAATAATAAACCCTACGTGCATCATCTATACTCTTTTCAACATATTTAGTAATCCTCTTTCCAGTTAACACCCGTTAAAGTAAAATGTTATCGTTTATTCTATCACATAAAAAAACTAGTATTAAGATCTGAAATAAAACGAACGTACAAAAAATAAAACAAAAAAAATGATATATTTGCGTTTGTTCATATCACAAGCTGTGAGACAGACATTTTATTTAAAAACATTAGCAGGGAACGTTTTTTTAACAAAATAGAAGAATGACATCTTCATTTGTTTTTTAACACTGTTTATAAACAACAAGAATAATCACAATTGGGACATAGAATAACAAATGGTGCTGCTCTTTGATCATCTATGAAAATGGAGGATAACATCGTATCTGTACAAGTACCTTGTTGAGCGTGTTGAAAACAAATATCAGACAATGTTGTACTAGTACCATTAGATATAGCTAGAAAATACCCAAAAAGCAGATTTTTTAACCCATCTGTAGCTTAACGCTACAGCTTTCGCTAGTAAATCCATTTGTAAATACCTTTTAATTTACAATATTCCTTCTGTTTTCTTACCTGGATGTAACTGATATTTAAACTGGAATTGTTTACATAAAATTGTTTGTTGACCTTGTTCTAAACTAATCTGTGAACATCTAGGACAAGGAACAGATGCTAACGGTTCAAAATTATAACAAAGAAAATTATCATCTTCTTCGTCCGGTAAGGGGGGTAATAATCGTTGTTCGTCTTCTTGTAATTCACGTTGAATCTCTGAAACAAAGAAGAAAATACGGGAGTTGTTATCTTATATAACAAAAAATAACAATAATTTGACTAAGCCTACCACTCTATGCTAGTTTTGTTATTCTAGTCTATATAAATATAAAAAACAGACCTTTTCATCGTCAGTTTCACTTGTCTTAAATAGAGCTCTTTGAGACGCATCTAGGTGAATAAAGCTTTGTTTCACAGAAAAAGATGATTTCGAAGTGATATAATAATGATTTAAAGATATAAGTGGAACGTTATTTCGTTTACAAAGGTTTTATACAGGCTTTTTAAGGTTCATCCAATGGTAATGAATTAGTGAAGAGATTCCCTTTCGTTTTACAGAAAAGAAGTGGTAGACGAGCATAGTGACGTATACGCAGCCTATAAAAAAATTTAGTGCTTAACTTAGAAAACCAGTTGTGTCAATCGAAACCAATTGTCAATTGATTCTAGATGCGTTGCACGGAAAATTCCATACAATCAATTTTTGTATAATACGCTAAACGTTGAATAGTTAGAGAGAAAAATTCTTTTTCCTAGCCTGGCAGTGATGTGATATATAGGCCTTTTTTCGGACGGATGTTATCAGATATATATGTATCCGCAAAAACTTAAGTACCCCCCCCCCCATCCTCGATCCAAAATGACAAGAATATATAGCCCCAAGTGCCCTCTTTCACATGCACTTATGTTGGCTCGCTAAAAAATGGATTTTAGTGGGTTTTCACGAAGTTTTCTGAAAGTCCTATAAGGACAAAAACTCAAAATTTCAAAATTTTCATGTTTTGGTCTGTTTTTTATATCTATACGGATTTTCGATCTTGCTAATTGGACGGGCATATGCATGCACATGTGCCACATATACAGGTATCTATGTATGCATTTTTTTCAGATGCAGACAGTTTTCATTTAAAGATTTAGATATTATGTGAATAATGTAATGCAGTCAGATCAATCTTTTTCATATATGATGTTATTGTCTGGAACGGCATATTATTTTTTGGGATGTAGACATTTCATTTCAGTTACAACTTTCTGTTCAAAAATTTCAAGTTTCTAATATGCAACCATACAGACGTCGGTGAAAATACATTAGGAAAAGTCATCGAAGCAGGGTCGAGCGTTACACCACAAATTACGGATGTAGCAAAGAAAAGGAATCGATAAAGCTGGAAAAACAACGCGTACGTGGGGAATATATATAGGAATTGGGTGTGGAGCTGCTATGTTGTTTATATGGATTGGATTAATTTATATTTCATAATATAGCTTCGCAAAAGTCGGAACTGATTGATCGTATACAGTCAAAAAAAATAAAAGTGACAAAAAAAAACGTAATGTTTTTCAATGACATTAGAAACAAAATAAAACCGCAGTAAGCATGGGGTTCTTCTACACAGGTCCGTCCACTTTATACAGAGCGTCTTGTCGCGAAAATTTCACTTTGTCCATCGTGTAGAGCATCAAAAATAGCCTAAAAGTTTCGCTTATGCTTTTTTGAAAAACGTGTGAAAAGTGGTTTTCTAGACACCTCAAGTTTTTGGTGAGGGTGAAACCGAAGTCGGTGAAAATGAACGAAACATTGCACAATTATACATCAAATTGTAGCTCTTGACGAGTTGATTTTAATGGTGAAGGAATTTGGTCTCGATCTAACTTTACGTTCGAGTGATACTCCATTTACTTGAAAAATTTTTGAAGTTTGACCTCGATTTTCTCCTAAACGCTCCGAAAATTTTTCGAGATTTTTTCAGGATAGGAACTACTTAGGATCTATAACTTTGCCCATACAACTATCCTCGACACTTTCCATTTTTCACCCTCAGTTTTCCAGATATCCTCTTAGAAAACTGTGGTACGGAAACACAAAGCCTCAGAAAACATTGAAATTCTTAACGCTGAACAGGAAGTCATAATAGCTTAATTTTCTTGTCATGAAGTAAGGTTTTAACGGGTTTTCTGAAAAACTGAGGGTGAAAAATGGAAAGTGTCGAGGATAGTTGTATGGGCTGTTTTAAAACTTGGAGAAAATTGATTAATTCCAGTTTGTCAAAAACCATCGACTGATACGACCATCACTAAAAGCAAAGTACGCCCCAATGTGGTGAAACATGTCAAGATGAACTGACGTATCTGTCAACACATTTGTCAGTCTAATTAAATAGGTACTCTGTGGATACAAAAGCAATTGAAAAGGACAAACAATAACACAGTATTGTTAGCCGAAAAAGCTAAATATGAATATTTCCGAGTGATGAGGATTGCTTCTGAAGTCAACTTCACTTGTAGTTTGAAGGTACTAGACTGGTGGTAAATCTCACCATATCATATATTACCATATTTTGCATTCTTTGAATTAAACTCTGAAATACACCTTCAAATTTCACTCTGATGTGTGTGCTTTAGTCGTAAGCATTTATATTTTAAACGCAATACTATTTGGTCTGCATCCTACATCAGTTTTTGATACTGAGTATTTTTTCAGGTTGATAAGTGTTTACCTTCGAATAATTTAATATTGTCATCAAAATCAATAAAATCATCTTTGCCGTCATCAACACTGCAATCCATTTGAGATGAATTTTGAGGAGGTAAACTATGATGATAAGTTTTAATATCATAACCAAATAATTTACGCCATTCTTGTTCAGCTATCTGACGGACAGAAAGTACTGTATCCTGTTGATCATTATTAACACCGCTATCTGACATACTACAATTATCAAACTAAAAAATCGAGAATAATATAACCACCAATAATACCACATAGGAAAATAACGTTGAACGAAGAGATTAAACCAAGGGGGAAATAGCGGACTCCTGGACTCCTATGGACTCCTATGAACTCCTATGGACTCCTGAAGTCCAGGAGTCCAAGAGCAAAGTGTCCTTTTTTGGGAATCACTTCCCAAAAAAGAACAAAAGTGTCCAATTTTTGGGGAGTGATTCCCAAAAAAGAACACTTTGCTCTTGGACTCCTAGACTTCAGGAGTCCATGGGAGTCCAGGAGTCCATAGGAGTTCATAGGAGTCCATAGGAGTCCATGGGAGTCAAGGAGTCCAGGAGTCCGTTATTTCCCCCTTGGATTAAACCCTTTGTTTCAGCACAAAGAAAACTTAACTACAATAAAAAAACGTAACTACAATAAAATAATAAATGAGCAAAATGGGTAGTTAATGTGACGATGAATAATCTGTAAATTTCAATAATACAAAAAATAAAGCTGAACAAGTAATTTCTATAAAATTTGTGAACTCACTGACCTTTGTTTAAGAATCATTTTCTTAATAGGAATGGCAAGTCCAGTTCTTTCTCAAACTCACTGATAATTTTCTTAATTTGTTAACCATTTTTTCTCTTGATTTCCTGAATTCTTGTTTACAATGTTGTCTGTAACGTTCTTTCCATATTATATCAGCACGAATTGTTGACGATGACATTTTATACATTGACTGATGCGAAGAACCAGCATGATTGTTCATATCTGAAAGTGACATTATCGAAGATGATCTTGCCATTTTTCTATTAATTTCACAAAATAATCTAAAAATAAATCCAAATAAAATGAAAGCGAAACTACATAAATCACTAAGGAAAATTGCGCGTGTAAAACTGTTTAAACGAGGTGTGTTGTGTTGTGTATATCAGAACACAGCTCTCTCGTAGCATTTTTTGAGTTACGATAATTTATCCACTGCTTGCCATAGAGATGGACATCAACACATTTCTATTTTCAGCTCGTTGTAAAAGCACGTCTACACCCATTTGATCTAAGCTACGCCTTGATGTGAATTGTTTATTTTGATTTAAAGAAAAAATGCGTAGGCGCACTTTCTATCTCGGTCATGAGAAATGAGTCTAAGGGTCTCTCAGATATTAAAGATCTTTTTAAATGTGCCTGAGTGCGCTTTATATATCATCCATCCTAATTAGGTTAATAAGCCGATAGAGAAGTCCTGCTATATTAATGATTTACAATACGCTTCCGACGACTCTCAATGGTCACCCAAAGTCTCCTGTCTGTAGACTGATTAATTGGTCCTCGCTTAAATTCGAAACTTATTCAAAGAATTTGTGTTTCTGAAAAGCGACATGCACTGGTACAACTTTGAATACTGCGTTCTGGCAGCACACGAGCCGTGTACTCGGAAAAGTAAACTGGCACAGCTTCCACTTTGAAAACATAAAGACAACAAATAAAGTTAACTATGAAAAGTTTTATTGAACTTGCGTGCGATTTACAATAGACAACTACTCATACGCATCTAGTATTTCTCCTGTTTCTCTAAATATTCGCTAAGTTATTTTATTGCGAAGAGCAGACATGTGCGCGGTAACAAATATTCAGCGGCGGCTAACTTCAAAATTTTTTTCCATTTTCAGCGACGGCAGCGCAAACTTTTCCATTCGAGGCCGCGAGCGGCAAAATTTTTTTTCTTCGCCAAAGCTATTATTATTAGTTGTCGTCGTCTGTCCAGCCATGTGTCGTAACTTATAAGGAAATAATGATTAAATCCAGCTTAATACTACAGTGCGATTGAGAAAACAGCGAGAACAATGGATATGGCGTTTGTAATTGCAAAATACGAGACATTTTTTCGATTCTGTCAAACGCCAATTATTTCAGTCGGTTGCATCGGCGCACATGTCTGGCAAAGAGTGATCGAAGTATGCATTAGTGAACAATAATATGAATCACTGTGTTCTCCGTGAATTGAATTGAATGTTTAGAAGCTTAGATTTGCTGTGTTCAAGACTCTTTCGTTTACTGCAGCGCATGAAACAAATATCTTCTGAAATAGTAAGGAATAGTAATTTACAAGTGAGTTGACGCTTCACACAGGACTATTTTTTAAAACGTTATTATTCCTTTTAGTTTTCTGCCTAACAAAGAAAGGTAGCACTCCTTAGATATGGCTCTATTGATATGAACTTGCAAGACAATCGAGAACAGAGCCACTGCTAACGAGACAACGTTTCCGGAAACTATATGATTTTAGGTAAGCGATGATGTTGACTCCAAATATGGTGAGAGCTGTCCTCAAGTCACTAGAGATCCAGTTTATTAGATTAGAAATTCACTTTGAGAAAAATTATTGAGTCTGAAAAACTAGATCTCTAGTGATCTGAGGACAGTTCTCACCACCATATTTAGAGTCAGCGTCATCGTTTACCTGAAATCATACAGCTTCCACAGAAAACGCGATTTACCATCTGGAAAACGTTCCTTCGTAAGTTTTAAGAAATGCCATACTCCTTTCAAACAATATCAATTAAACTTCTAGAAATGCACTTAAAATTGGAAGTAGGACATTTTCTAGAGCCTTTATTTTCCCTTTTTGTTTATTGTGTACTCGTATTGCGCCAACTATCTCTTATTATTTGAAACAACAACTAAGAGATATAAAATACACGATAGAAATAACAAGCGTTAAAATCTGGAAAACCGAACGATTTGTTAGTTTGATCGATTTTCAAAAAGTACTTGGATACATTGTTCGATTTGTAAAAAGGCAAACTTTTTCGAAAACGCAAAATTTTTGAAAATTGTCTTTTTTTTTTCTATAATTTATTAAAAATCGTTTTATAGTGTACCGTATTCAACAAGGATGTGGTAAATTTCATCGGTCGATCGTTTGTATAACTCCTCCACGTTCCAATTTGAAGTGAAGTTCCAGTTTGGTACTCAAACCATTAGCGATTTTACTAAATTTTCTATTCATCATATGATAGTACAGAATATCCAAAAATGGCACTATAGAACGTGTGACAAATTGTATTATATAAAGTCTTAAAATTTGTTCATGAGAACAAACCACTATCTTTGCCATTGGAGGGGTTACACGTTTTAGTTCTGACAGGAACTACGCTAACGAGTTTTTTTAAATTTAATTATTTGTGAGCTTTTCACCACACATATATATCATATACTATGACCATACAACGTTTTTCATAATACATTATTTGTGATATTTTATTTCTTGCTTAATGTTTGAAAACGAAAAAAAAGATGAACCAACAAAAAAAAAGGATTTTTGCACGCATTTTAGAATAGGATAACTGCATAAGTATGTATATACATGAAAAAAGGGTAGACGTGCAAGGATTAGTAACGCAATAGAGATGATTTTAAAAAGAGAAAAATACGAATTTTTTTTTGGTTTTTACTGCAGACAGAAACGATAAATTAAGCCAGAATACGCGTACGCGAAGAAAAATTCATAAATGGTAAAATAATTAATCTCTTTGTGTTCTGCTAAAACAGAACCAGAGAGAGAGTGAGAAAATAAAATGAACAGTCCGTTATAAACACCGATTGAATATTGTTTGTTTAAGAGAAATGAGTTTCAATATGTTCACGTTTTGCATCTAAAGTGAAAGATGGAAATTCCATGAAGCAAAGTGGACACTGTTTAATTTCACCAGGAGGATCTGTCACAGCTGTTTCGTCAGTATTTATTAGTTGAATACCACTTTCCGGCAATAATGGAGAGCCAACATCTAAAAGAAAAAAAGAAATATGATTCTGTGCAAACATTTTCTACTAAAACTTTGGAGTTGTCTAATGAGAAATATTGTTGTTGTTTTTTATATTGAACGATTTCTCTTAGCTGATATGCGCTTAACTTGTTTCTCCCAGTCAACGCCTATAAATACCTAAATCTTGATCACTATCATAGGCGAAGGATGATGCTTGATCTTCATCACTATTTGGGTTTCGAATATATCTTTGGCGTAACAAGTTCACCAACATTTCTTCATTAATTCCGGTTTCATTCGACATTGTTGTTGTTTGTGGTAGAGAGGATACAAATGATTGCTGTTCTTGATGTTCATTGCCTTGTTCAAAAGGTTTTTTTTCAGCATCCCAAACAAGATCTTTCATATTACATGAAGTTGATAAAACAGGCACTTGTTTTAATGGTATTTGACTTCGATCAGTCATTTTCGTTTTTGATTGTAGACTAGAGATTGATGCTGATGATGATAAGTCTTTATCATTACCACTATTATGACGTTGCATTTGTAAATATTTACGATAAATGGTTTTATATTCAGAACCAGCTTCATGCAAACGATCGCGTAATTCATTTATTTCATTTTGTTGATCACGCTGAAAAAAAAGCAATTAATGAATCAAAATAAATATAAGATGAAAATTGGCTTTGATTAAGAAGCAGAACAAACTTTTCTTGTATTCTTTATCTATGGCACATGATTATAAAATTATAATATACGCAAGTATCTTTCAAAGGAACAAGAACAAAATTCAACTTACAATATGATCTTGTAAAACGTCGACTTGTTTTTTATAATCTTTCTCTTGTTTCTGATGTTTTAAACAACGTTTTTCCACTACCGAATAAGATAATTTCAATGCATTGTGTGACTGCTGATTTGCTTTCAAATCTTCTAATTCTGTACGAATTAATTCTAATTCACTTTTTGCCTTTAACACAAATAAAACAATGACTATTTATAAAGAAATAAATTGGTTTCTAGGCCGTCTCAACGTCTCGCTTTATTACCTGTCCCATTTGCTGTTGAAACGTTTCTGTTTCACACTGTTTTAAATTATAACGTTCTTCTAACAGTGCCAACATTTCGCTTTTTTCAAAACAAACACAATGCAACTGTTCATTATCGTGTGCCTTTTGTTTTAGCTCGTCTTTCAAAATTGCATTGGTACTTGCCAATGCTTTCATTTGATCATCGACTAGTTCATAACGTGATGTTAAATCTTGATGACTCGATGATAACTGTAAGAATTTATTGCGTTCAATATCAAGTTGTTTTTGCACCGACATTAAATGTTTTTCATGGGACATTTTTAAATCACCTAAGAAGAAATAAGTATATTTTCTTTCCAGAGATAGATGAATATTTGAACTGAAAATATTTAAAGTAACTGTAACAAGCCTGTACTTTTCTGACTTTTCCTGTTTCTGTACTTTTCTGACTTTTAAGCTAATTTAACTTCTTTTTTTTTGAAAGTGAGAAAACAAAAAAGTTTTTCAACTAAGACGGGGTAGAAATGGTTTATAAAACGAAGCGAAATGATTTCTGAAAAATGACTCTTTCTTACATCTTTGCTCCTTCAAATTGTCAACATTCATTACTCTTAGCTTACCAATTTGTATTTGTTGATGTTTGCATGTTTGTGTTTGCATTTGTAATTTTTCGATTGCATCATCATAAAGAAGTCGAACCTTTTTTATCTTTGTTTCTAATTCTTGTTTATCTACTTCTAATTCTGCGAGTTTTGATAGATACAATTGAACTGTTTCACTTTGTGTTTGATATAATTCCCGACATTGTAAATAATCCGCTTTTAAAGACATTTCACGTTGATTATATCCGTCCAATTCGCTTGCAAGTGAAGCATGCTGTTTCTCCCGGGCCTAAAGTCAATACGATACAATTAAAAATACTATTACGTCTCTCTGTTACATTTACTTACAATAATATCTTGATTCATTTTGTTAACAATTTCGTTTGATTTTATTTCAATTTGATCCATTTGCATTTTTAATTGATCATTTTCTTTTTCTAATTTGCGATTTATCGATAACAATTGTTTACAATCATTTTTGAGTTTTTCTTCGGTGAGAATATGTTTTGTTTGAATTACAATAAAATCAACATCTCCTCCACCATTTGTTTCACCACCAACCGTATCGATAGTAACTAAATCATTGGCACTACGTTTATTTACAGCAGGATTCAGATGATGACCTAAGAAATAGAAGACACATTATAAAAGCGAATGTTACTGAATAACTATTAGACAGCACAAAGACGGATCACTCTATAAGCTGACCATCCTTCCCTTGCTATGTCAGCTAGTTCTAAAAATGTCTTTTTCAAAAAAATAAATGTAAAATTTAATAAACATTTATCTTTCTCCTGTGTGATCTACAGGAATAGTAGACATTTCTAGTTATTTCATGTCGTTCTTGATTGAAAATCAACAGGATACAAACCTTCACTTTGCTCATCTTCTCCATTATAGGCACAAATATCATCATCTAAACAATTTAATTGAAATGGTATCGAAGACCCAATGGATCGATTTGTTGACGAAAGAATATAACAAAATTGATAAAATTCTTCATCAGATTTTGGTAACGAATCATTAAGAAATATTGCTTGACCCGACATACTGCCATTCGATTCGGCTAATATTTCTGGTTTTGCAAATGCAAGTGAATCTTTCACATTTGTACAACCGACCTAACAACACACAAATAAAAGAACATATAAAATAAACTAAAAACCTACATAAACATAAGACAAGATGGAATAGGAATAACTAATTATCAAACTTTCTCATAACACTCGGATCGTCTTGTCATTAATAGAGTTGAACTGTTCACTAATAGTGTAAAAGCAACAAACTTACTCGAAATAAGCCAATTTTATCGTCTGTACTTGTTTTAACATCTTTCAATAAATAGAAATAACAGCAAATATTTTGCCCTTTCAAATATTGATCACGAACATTTTCAAATACAACTTGATCATCCAACGATGATAAACTTAAATTACTAATATCACTGCCATTATCCGACATTTTTAATGCGAACAACTAAAATCGTTCACGTGATCGTAAATTAAAGAATATTGTTTTATGCAATTTATCAAAAAAAAAAGAGATAAAAATTAGTCAGAAACCTAAATTCAAACCTAAAGAAAGCAAAAATTGACCAAAATCTAAGACATCTTCAAAATTTTCTTAGTTTATGTAAAAACAATACTTTAAAGGTACATGTTTTTCACGATTTTCTGGTAAAGCATCTACAAAAACGTCAAGCCATTACCAACTAAAAAGATTTTTTATTAGCCGTCGGTCGTTGGTCAGCTGCCATCACTACCAATAACATCTCTGCATAATGACAAATAGTTATATATCATACTTTATCAAGAAGTTTTTAAGTATAAAAAGTTTTTTCCATGCATAAAATTTAAATAAAACATCGGAAAATTTATCTGATGATGTTTAGAAGCACTAAACTCCATTCGACAAACTATTTGACTATTCAATCAAAAGGAGCCGAAAATCTATTATCTTTTATCCTAAAAAACCTGGCATCGATGGCTTGTGATAGTTCTACTAAAGCGTAAAAAATACAATACAAAAAAACCAGATTACAGTAAGTAAACCACGTAGTCATTACAGTGCTCAGTCTGCTCTCTTTTCTTTGCCTTGTGCAATACTCACGTTCTCTATTAATATATAATAATATACGTTGTTATCTTTTATTTATTCTTAGGTTTAATCATACCTTTCTACTTCTTTCTTCACGGTGACTTTTTAAACCGTATGATTCAAGGAGAAGAGTACACATGTACTACAATGAGCTGGCCTGTGTGATTACTAATAGTACAAAAAAATGAAATATTTCGACATAACATAGAGCAATTTCAATCTGTGTTGATGAGAAAACGATACAATAACTAAGAACGAGATTTTATTATAATGAGCAATAGGGGCAACTTTCGCAGAGGATAATGAATGTTGAAGATGGATTTATCATGAATGAAAAAACGAAATTTGTAGATAGCTCTTGTTTCTAAACAAGTATCGTATGTTTTGAATTACAGGATAAAATTTTACAGTAGATGCAAAAATAGTTGACTATACCGCCCTCTTTTCACCAAAACTGGCATAGATATCTGTCACTGACATTTTTGATGGTTTATGCTGAAAACAATTTTATGAAACTGGAAATGTCAAATATTCGCTATCATTTAAAGTATGGTATGTGACGGCACAAAAGCTTCAATTATGGCTGAGTTTAATCAGAACGCAAAAGAAAAAACTCAAATATCAATCGTCATGCCAAAAAAAACGACTTTTCCCAAACCCGTGTAGAGTTACTAATAGTTAATAATAACGTTTTTAGTGCAGTTTGACATCTTTCCTACTGAACTCAACGTCTTTACCGTGACATCAGACGGAAGCATTACTTTAAGTATTTTTTCTGCTGTTGTTGTCACGGTAATGTTATATAATAGAAATTTTTTTCAGAGTGGAACTTTTCCCTTCGTTGTTAACATCAAAGTGATTTTTCCCACTGTGATCTCAAATGTCAAGTTAACAAAATGGGAACAGTACAGCTTTTTTTCCAATAGTGGCTAGGATAGACTACTCTTCCGTCTCGAGGGTTTCGTTTTATCACTTTCAGTTAAATGGATCGAAAATAACTTCTCTACCCATGTTTACTAATAAGAAATTCTTATGAACTGTTGTGATGTTTGCGATATTTTGTTGTTATTAGTTAACGACTATGACAGTAATCCGGATAGTACAACGTGATTATAATCCTTAATTTGATCACCTTCTAATTGAGATTGTTAAGATGAGGAAGATGATCGAGCAATTACAAATTTATCTAGCAGACTTTGTTTATTCTGAGACGTTCTGCTGTCAGCCATCCTAGATGACTCATTTAAAACAAAATGTAACTAAAAGAATAGCTGTAACTAAAACACTTCTGAAGAAAAAGGAACGCTGCAAAAACTTTACACGTTTAAATAAAAGACAGAAATCCGTTTTGACTAATGTGCTCTTCATGTTAATTTTCCGACACCAGCGAAGTCTGATTGTGATAAAAATTAGAGGACTAAACAGAAATTATACTGGTTCTCTCTCTCCCACATATATATAACAAACAGAGATTGATGGATCACATTTGCTTCCAAGTGGAAATTCTCAAAAGTAAAGTGGAAAACAAATTAGGATATATTTTTCTTAGCGTGAAAAACAGTGTGAAAAGTGGAAATGCGTTTTGCTCTCAATTAGCCCACCAATCATCACAAATACTGCGACAGAGGTTTTACCCCGTTCTTACTGTTTTAGCCAACCTCGTGCACGATTGGCGTGGCAATTTTTGCCACACCTGCTTTTTATTTTGTCCTATTCTCCAAGTCAAAATAAAAGATCTTCCAAAATCTTCCAATTTTTTTAGGACAAATTTGTCCAAAACATTACAGCAGCAAAGGGTAAAGTAAAGTATATTCTCCTAAAAGTTCTTAGCGCGTACTCCCAAAAATATACACCGCTGATTTTTTCGATATGGCATTGGTTTCGACAGAATTGCCGTGCTATCGCAATTGGGCATATTTCTTTATTTTGATGTCGCGATCTTTCAGCTTGCGTGATGTAAATTGTTTATAAACACAAACAAGTGGCTGTTCTTTTTTTATTTATTTTGACAGATGTGTACGTAAGATGATTTGGTGTTGCAAATTATTGTTTTTAGATATTTTATTTGAAATTTCATAAAAATCCCTTATTGCACGAACTTCTGACAAGAGGCAATCGACGTCGATGATAAATTTCTTTTTAATATTGATGATTTAATTCATGCCCTAGTGAACCTGACTTTTTGAAATTTTTCAGTATGGTGTTGACTCAAGACTTTCATAAGAAAATGTAATAATTCAAGAAATTTTAAGCAGTCAAGATCGTGAACGTCTTGTAATTTCTTGACTTCTTGTATAAAGATCTTGGAAATTCTTGAATCATCGTTTTGTTTTACACTCTTGTGTAAATATAAGTGCGAATATTTTCACACTTAAAATAACTTCGAATTTTTTTCCTTCTTGAACATAGTTGTTTAAGGAAGGATAACCTATGATTATATATGGTCATATATCTGATAGCTATGACTGTCATAAATGAAAACAAAATGTTAAAAAGATTTTTTTACTTAATATCTTGCAACATCTGAGTGCATTCGCTCAAGATCTCGAAATTTCTGTTCCCAAGATCTTGAGTGAAAGATTCAAGAATCCAAGATCTTGGCTTCTTGGTGTTTTTTTCAAGATCTTGTGACATTTCTTAACCCAAGATACAAGGTACAAGAAGTTTCACTAGGATAGTTACCGTTTTCTACTCTATTACTACTGGTTTCTCTGTCTTGTATTTTCTGATACAGTTATATTATAATTTCAGAAGTGTTTCTAATGACTAAGTGTACATACATTCTGTTGTCGCAAATACATTGTGGTTTTTGCTCGGTGTACTTTGTTGTTTGCGGCGAACTAGTGAGGAGTTATTTTCAAGTTGAGTGATACGTCATGATATACACATAAATAGTGAACTAGACATGGACAAGGTCGCTGTTTTCTGATTTCGATTTCGACCCCATTAGAAGTCTACAGTCCCGTTTTTGCCGAAAAAAACCAAAACACCTCCGAGCAATCCACCTTGTCTCAAAAATATTTTTCTGATCCTTGACATAAAAAAATTCAGTCTCGGTTCTGTCTTGATCACAGTAAAAATTTCCTTTTAGTTTCGGTCCCGTCCATATCCGTCCGGAACAGTCAAATGAGAGTTAGATTATTTTTGTTCCGGAGCACACCAAAGCTGTGATTTTGTCCAAGTCAATGTATGTCGTGTCTGTGAACTTGTTTTGGTGAAATAACATCTTATGAGAAGTTTCTTCTGTTTTTACCTGTTAGGTTCTCGACATTTCGCACTGGATTAGCTTTCTTCGCTTTATATTAGGTTTGGATACATTTTGTACAATTTTTAAAAAGAAAACGAAGTGTGCGTGTACATTGAGCAAAAGGTTCTCATTAGAAACACTGAATCAAAAGTGGAAATTATCCTTGTGATGATTCGGTTTATATTACCATAGTCTACTTTCCTGGGAGAATCCCGGAAAAAATGTGAAATCCCTCGTGAATCCCCAGGGAATCACTGGAAAATCTCCGGAGTTCTTGTTTTTCAAAAAGTGGGAGAAAGAAAAATAATCTTCAGGACTTCCTAGGGATTCATCGTTGAATGCATTGCACTAAGTGCATAAGTGCTTCAAGTATATGTGAACCTATCTTGTCAGTAACGAGAACAAGCAGCATACGTTGGCTGCAGCATCGGCAGATATGAAGAGAAAAGCAAAATGGAAAAAACATAAGGCTACGTTCACATTACAAAAGTTAAATGAGCTAAAGCGAAGCTGATTAATCAGAAAGTTAACTGTGAGTTAAATGATGTTTCGGACCTCATTTAACTTTAACTCTCCAGTCATAAATGAGCTCAGTAAACAATAATATGGTTCTATTGACAAGGGAAGAAAATCAGGTCTTCGAAGGGCTAAGGGCAACCCCCATGGTCATATTCGCAGCATGGTCGATAACCCATAACCCACTAGATTGCGAGCAGAAAGCGTTTAATCACCTCGAAAGGTTCCGTCGTTAGAAAGGCAACTGTAGAACGTAAATTCAAATCAGCTGGCTGTTAGCAAGCCGCAACCTTTGAAAGTACTGAGACCAGGAAGCAGCACAGTTTTAGGGGAAATGTCAAAATATTATTGATGTAGTAACGATTTAGATGTGAACACTCTCCACGTTAACTTCGATTTAACTCTGGAAAATTTGTAGTGCGAACGTGACCTAATTTTGGATTCAAAAACGTGTTTTGTAGGAGTTTTAGGTGTCTCTGTGTATTTCGCACGATTTTTTGCCCTGAAGACGCAAAGGATTGACCGATTTCTTTGTTCTTGTTGTTTACTGCCTACTTTTTTCTTATAGTGTAATTAAGGATTTATACAAAACATAACGGCCTTCTACTAATTGTGATTACTTTCAAGATCATCTTTTAATTTTTCAATATGTTAACATCGTTTTAAATTGTCTCTTTTTAGATCATATCGTTTCCATTAACAATTATATTTCTATTTAAAGATTCAATAAAAAAAAAGCCGAATCATGGTAAGGCAAACTAATCTTGGGTTCAATAGATATTGTTTGATTTTTTTGACTCTTAGGGGAATATGACATCGATACCCGTTGAATTGTGTGCAACCTGTATGTTCGCTTTCACATCTAACAGCTTTAAAATGTATTTTATTGCGTTTTACTTTACTCTAGTTGATGCAGATGAAATTCGCCGATTAGGAAAACGTTTTAAAAAGTTAGATATAGATGGCAGTGGATCATTGAGTGTTCAAGAATTCATGTCCATACCTGAATTACAACAAAATCCATTAGTACAAAGAGTTATTGACATATTTGATACAGATGGAAATGGAGAAATTGATTTTAAGGGTATGATATTAAACGAATTTTCACCCAAGACAGTGGTGCATAACATCTTACTTTATTTTGTACCTGGTCTCCTTGAACAAATCCACCCTAGATCCCTCGAAAAAACAAAAATTGCTGTTTTGTTTTCATCATGCCTTCTGCTATATGTGTGACCGTGTTTGACCCAAGGGGGAAACAGCTGAATTCCAAGCAGCTGTGGACCCTCAGACCTATAGAAGCCTAGAGAATCCTATACAAACTTCCCAAAGTTCGAGAAACTGGAGGAATCCCTGGGAGTACAAGAAAAAATCGGAAATTGAAATTAGATTTCGATGAAATCCTAAAAATCTGTAAAAATGACTGAAAATGGGGCTAAGCAGAAAAAACGCGGGAAAATTCAAAAACAGTCAGGAAAATTCTTCGGGCTCAGCGAAAATACCAAAGAGTCTCCAGGAGTACAACAAAATTTGAAAAAAATTGATTGCCTGTGGAACGGAGCCCAGATTATAAAAGTCACAAAATCTGCTGTTTCCCCCTTGGTTTGACCACTTTATCTGCACTCAGCAAATGCGTGACGTTAAAAGAGAGAAATCGATTAAGTTTTTCACCAGAATGATATTTGTACACATATATATCATTCTTTATACAGCAAGAATGAGTCATCACTTTTTCCAATGTCTTATAAGATCTTTTAACAAGAAATCGTATGATCCTGTAAGATCTTATGATAAAATATAAATATGAGTCAGCATTTTAACTGATAAAGTTTTTGAACATTATTCTTTTTATATCACTTGTCATAAGATTGCATGAGAAAATGATAGATTTTGTATGACATGAATTTTACTTTGGTATTCTTTAAAAAGTTGATAATGTGTTTGATAAATAAAAATTGATATTTGAATGTGCTTTAATTTTGTTTAGAATTTATCGGTGGTATATCACAATTTAGTGTTAAAGGTGATAAAGAATCCAAATTAAAATGTAAGATAATTCGTTTTGTAGTATGTTTCTAGACTGATTTAGTTTGGCTTACAATTAAAATAATCTTCAATTTAATATTGAACAATCTTCTCTATCTCTAGTTGCATTCAAAATTTATGATATGGACAAAGATGGCTATATTTCAAATGGTATGTAGAACACTCTAAGAAAGTGTGTGTATAGGAATATGTTAATATTTTGATTTATGTACCTTTGTTGTATGTTGTAATGTTAATTTTTCTTTCTGTTCGTTGTCTGTATTTTAGGTGAATTATTTCAAGTGTTAAAAATGATGGTTGGTTCAAATTTAAAAGATTCCCAATTACAACAAATTGTTGATAAAACAATTATAAATGCTGATAAAGATGGAGATGGAAAGATTAGTTTCGATGAATTTTGTGCTGTAAGTTCAATACATTGTTTTGACCTATTTGTTAGAAATTCGATGGAATGGTATTCGTTTAATTTTGAAAATTTAAAAAAAGTGGATCAATCATCAATGTTTTCTCTATATGCTTTAGTTTCTTCCTACATATGAATTAAATATTCAAATTCCGCCAATTTAAGAGAGAAGTAACGATAATAAAGAGAGAAAATTCATGCACACAGTTATTAAAGAAAAAAAAGAAAAAAAAGTATTTTAGCACGAATAATACTGAACTATTCTATCTTTCACGATGCGGAGAACATGAGTAGGTCTTTTGTCCGTTTTCATAACAAAGAGAAATGAAAAGAGACGATAGGTTTAAAAATGAGTTGATGTTTTTAATATTTACTTGAACTTGTAAGCAAAACGATTAGAAAGATTGATTTATTCGTGCTAATTGGAAAATTTTCTTTTTTTGCTGGGATGTAATCACTGCCATCTATGTGTTTCTCGGTGAAATATTTTTGTCGGTGAAGTGTCTTGTTTTTCAGTTAGTTGTTCACCTGTATGTCTAGTGAAGAACACCCATAACAAATTGCTTTATAAAATTGAATAGGTGGTTTGCCTCTTTTCTATGGTAATAGTATTGAACAGAAAAAAAGATTTTAAAACTTTTCTGCTGAATTCACGAGTGTTGTGAGTCTACTTTTTTCCTTCTAATAGTATTGATTTACAATATTTTTACTGTGTTGAAATCAATCTTTTGTACATACTTGTGCGAGAGAAAAATAAAGAAGTGGTAAGCTTAAATGAATAATAAATATTACTACTTTCGTTACTGAGTCATTTTAAAGATTTATGAAATTAATTGACACAGTGGGATATAATTAGAATGATGCGTTACAATTAATAATGTGTCTCATGTCTTCGGATTTATCTCTGTTTCTAGTGTATTGGTGATCCTCTCTTGATCGATATGTCCAAAAAAATGACTATTATTGTCTGAGAAAAATGGAAACAGGCATTTACACTTTTATTCCAAAATTCTGCTGCATTTGTTTGTTTATGTCTGTCTATGGGTGTGTTTGAGTGTTGCATCACGTCTGTGGAAAACTATACTTGAATAAAATAGAATCTGAATAAAAAAAGTAAAAAAGTCTAAATAAAAGGATGTTCTCTTTAATTCAGGTTCTACTGCTTGGTTTTTTGTCTGTTTTTTTTTATTTGTTGCACTATTTATTTTGTATGTCTGTCAATATGTCACATCAATCTTTTTGTTATTGTAATTCTCTCACATTTGTGTTCATTCCACAGAATCTAACATGCTCATTGTGTCACGGCCCTAAATTATTCAATTCTCCTGTTGAACATCTATAGCAAAACAGCTTATACCCATATTTTTACAGGAATATTTCACAAATAATTATTTTCGATGGAAGTTCTAATAAAAGTATTTCTCTGAAAAAACACTCTCCTATAGCGGATTATATCTTAGAAAAGCTTCAATTTATTCAGTAACGCAACTGCCAAATCGACCAACGATTCTTAAGTGACGTCTATGAAAAAGAAGTGATATTTTATCTGTAGTGGATTTGTGATAGAAAGTGATCACAAAAGAATACAGTTTATTCGTAATTATTGTTTTCTACATCATAGGTGTTATAAGTTCCCATGCATGTCATCCTTTATGCATTTAATTCTTTGTTTTGATCTGCTTGGATATTTTGCTTTCAATCATGTGTTATACAAAATTTTGGTTTTTCTTTCAGTGTGTTGGAGATTCACTTATATCAGATATCGAAAAGAAAATGACTGTTACCGTATGAAAACAAGACAACATACAAAAACATTATCAAACATGACATTGAAACAATATATTTCTTCTGTTTTTGTGTCATTTTTAAATTGATATGGTTATTTTATGCTGACAAAAATATGTGCTTTTCTTTTCCTCACTTTTTTCTCCCATCTTCCCACATGCAGTATCCTCATTATGTTTCGTTTTCTTTTCTTCCACTAATTTGCTCAGTTATGTGAGGCAAAAATATATATATTTTTTCTTGTAGTGGTGCTACAGGATCGACAATATCCTCATGACTACTAATACATTGAATCTCGTTCTCTTGCGCTTATTTGTTTTCTTGTGTTTATTGTGTGAATGCTTACCCACAACAGTATTCTCTTTGTGACAAATAGAAATAAAATATTTGAACTTTTTGAACGCGTACTTTTATTCATATTTATTCTTTATTGAGATTATTACTTCTTGCAGTCTTCTATAACAAAAATTATGTCTTATCTATGTGTAATAAAATGCAATGTTTTTGATATTGTTTGTTTCTTTGTCTGTTCTTTCAAATTATTTATTGATGTCGTTTTTTTCTGCTTTTCTATCAAAAAATTAGTATTATTCAACATGTAAGATTAAGCAAAATTTAAACTCTAAAATAAAACCAAAACACCACGACCTACAATAGTCTTCGGAATCTGGGACAGAACAGACAGATGATGGAGAAAGCAGCACATATTCTTCTTTGATGAGAATCTTTTTCTAAGAACAAAAACTTTTATCTCTATTAGACAATTTTCTATATACAGTGGAGAGATGTTTTCGACTATCTAGGCAACCATCTCGATTTGCAGTTGTAAATTTTAATCCTAAATCTTATTTTGTTATCATTTTAGACGTACTTGGTCTTTGCGATAACCAATAACTCATAAACCTAACACCTAAAACAAAAGCTTTCTATTTTTAGAAAATATCCGTTTGTTGGTGAATAAGAACCACAATAACAATTAGATACCAACTGTGCTCTACGAAGATTGGAAGCCGATTGAGTGAACGCTTGTGAGAAGCAAGTAAGACAGAAACGAAATTGTAAATATTAAGAAGAGAATAAGCATCTTAATAAGTCTCTACTGCACTTATGCTATTGACGACAAGCGTTCCCTATCTCTATGTGTAATAGAGTCCTGCGAGACAAACTTTTCTGTTGTCCAGAGCCCGTAAGCCTGAGCCAGGGCATCAAATTTTTTGTCCCGTCCCGTAAGCCCGAGCCCGTGAGCAAGTAATGTTGTCCCGAACCCGTCTGTCACATGAAAAAAATTTACGTACTTTTTTGTCCTATATTTTTTAAAAACATTTTTCTGTTGTGATAAATCGTAACTGTTACAAGAGACGCTTAAAGTCTCAAACTTATTTTGTCAAAAAATCAGCATGACAAAATTTAAGCCTAATTTGTTTGATTGTAAAATTTAAAGTTACTGTACAACAAAATGTTTTCCATCCACTCACTTACTACCTCAGAATCGAAAGGAAAGACCTGTGAATCTAGTTTTAGATATGGAACATCTTCTCAAGTTTAAATTCAGACTATTTCTCCTTTCCAGGTTAAGTTTTAGTTATTATAAAATTACGGTTTTGACTTGATAGTATTACAAGAATTAAACAATTGAAGTTGCACTATAATTACAATCAAAAGACAAAACTTACGGCACAACATTTTTCTCTAACTTGTCCGGATCCCGTGAAATTTTTCTCTTGAGCCGAGCCCATGAGCCCACGCCCGTAAGTTTTTCTTTGTCCCGATCCCGTCTGTCCCACGGGACGGGACAGACGAGGGGGGGGGGGGGCTGTCCTGCAATGTATAACATTCCCTTCTCTTTCACACTATAATTAATCACGTGTTCATTATCTCGATCGTAGAAAGTTTTTAAGTCCCAGCATTTGAGTGACCTTGTTTAGGACATATATCTGAGCAAACTAAAAGGGCGACCGACATGAAACCTGAGAGAAGTTATGTGGTGAATAGTCATTATATGATCAGTTACAGATGTACAGTTTCGCATGACGAAAATATGTTTTGTATGAAACTACTTTTCGAACTCACTCTCACACTGCCCACGCCCCCACCTCCCACGACACACTGCTAAAAATACCCAAATGTGTACTACGAAAAATCCGTGGAAGAGTCAAGTCCTGTTCGCAGTAATGTCCGTCGCAAATATCGACGTCGCTCAAACGTTGGGTGCTCAGATGTCGGCGTTCAAATATCGGTCGCTCAAACGTCGGTTGACGATTGGAATCCGACTCAGTGAACGCTTGTGAGAAGCAAGTAAGACAGAAACGAAATTGTAAATATTCAAAAGAGAATAAGAATTTAATAATTATTCACATTATCGTATCAGCTGATTCATTATCCTATCATACATTCTGCTATAGCCTTCATCATATCAAGCACTATAGTATAGATTCACTACGAACTATAACACGTGACGATTAATTATCTTATAGGAAAACCGATAGAGTTTTCTAAAAATATACTCATTTTGTACCACTGCTTATAGAACAATTAAAGCAAATATCCCAAAACTAACTTTAGTTGTGTCATGTAAGACTGCTACTTTCGAATAATGTTTTTCTCAAATCTGTACGATCAGACACAATCGAGAACGGTGGGCAGAAAAACCCGCTCGAGATGTGGAGAAATAAAGAGGGAAAGAAAGAAAGAAAGAAGAATATGCGGACTCCGAAGGCAAGCAATATTCACTCAGTCGGCTTAAGCCCCAATGATCTTAAATTGATGAAAACAATGTTACTAGAGGCTGATAGAGCCGGATTTTTGATATTTTACTGTTCAAATTAATGGTCAGCGTCAAAAGTCCAAAATTCGAAAAACTGTCATTAACTTTGGTAAAGATGTTTTTCTAATCACAAATCTAGACCAAATATCAAAAATCGGGCTCTGCCAGCCTCTAGTCGCATGTGTCAGCTTCAATTTAAGACTGCGATGTTTCGTTACCGAGAAATCTGGGAACTATGAAATGGTGTTAAGGTGAAAGTCGCTTTCGAGATATAGTGGCGCCCGTATCTGATGCATGTTTTAGGACTTCCAGTAAAACTCTCGTAACTCTTGATCAGAACATCATTCAGAGCTGGGAAATATCTCATTTTGATCAGAAATGTATGCTCTATTTTCCTATATACTAAACGTAATTTTCAATTTGCTTTTTAATCGGAAAGTAAAATGTTTTCTAAAAGTCAGGTTTTCAAGGTTTACAGAAACTTTTCCAAGGATAGAAGATACTGTGGGCTATCTCATGATGTGCTTAGCTCAATAGCGACTTTTTATAAAATCAATTTATGTTTCTGATGGAGGGGAGCCTTAATAAATCTCTAGTGCACTGATGCTATTGACGGCAAGCGTTCTCTATCTGTTCGTTTCTATGTATAACATTCCCCTCTCTTTCACACTATAATTAATCACGTGTTCATTATCTCGATCGTGGAAAGTTTCTACGTCCCAGCGTTTGAGTGACCTTGTTTAGGACATATATCTGAGCAAACTAAAAAGGGTAACGCAAAAACAACCTCGGATGTGTCGTATTCAGTGTGAGCTTTATATTCTCTTTTTTTTCCCAGTTTTCTATGACTTGAAATATCCGAGATCGACGGGCAGAAAAACGTGCTCGAGGTGTAGAGAAAGAAAGAAGAATATACGGACTCTGGAGAAAAGCAATAAGCCGACAAGTTCACTACGTTCACTAAGTCGGCTTAATAATAAAATTTATTGCCAAGAACCTTTTCGGTCATTAGAAGAGAAAACTTTACTATTAATGAGCATATTCACATCCTGATGAAGTCGCCACATTGCGATACTATTTTTGTGCTTTCTGACTATACACAGAGATGTGCACCGCGGCGTCGATTAGCCGCTGTCGCCATGTCCTAAAGTATTTGACGCCGTCGAGAGCGGAGAAAAACTTTTTAAGTTCACGCTGTAATCGCTGAAATGTTTTGAATATACCCAGACTAAAGACTCACAAAAATATACTATAGTATTTTGACGTAAACCCAGCCAACGTATTACGTCCATCGTAAACGACGTCGTTTACGTTGAAATATGACGGTCGTAACGGCTGACGTAATAGGTTGGTCGGGTTTACGTCAAAATTCAACGAAATACAATAGTATATACGACCGTATAGGACGGTCGTAATCATGGACCTAAACCTGGGTAGGCGTCCACAGTGTGCTGATTAGCCAAAATCTTTTTAAACACTATAGAGAAAAGTGTTTTCTTCAAAATGAGACGTTGTTGAGCTCTGTATGATATCCCCATCAAACGTCATAAGCATTTCTCTAAGAGCACCTAAAACTCTGCTTTTCTTTCATTCCTCTACATTGACTTTTGCCTTGTGTAATTCTAAGATTTCTCCGCTAATTTAAGTGCTGCAAATTTCAGGTTGTTCTTGAAATGTAGCCAACACTTTTTTCTAGAGCATAACAGAGCCCGATTTTCGATCTTCGTTTTTGCCTCTGAGGAAAATAAAAAGTTTCAGAGAAATGAAGAAAAATTCGTTAAGTTTTCGGAAACCTTGTATTTTCCTCAGAGGCAAAAACGAAGATCGAAAATCGAGTTCTGTTATACCCTAGAAAAAAGTATTGCCTACGTTTCAGACCAATCTGAGATTTGTAGCACTTAAAATAGTACGGTCAGCTTTCAAGCCATTTGACGGCCAACATACAGCGTCCTCATCAGGATGTGAATATGACTCATTACAAGTAAGTTATTTTGTAATGTAACAAAAAAATAAAAATGAATGAGTCTTTTAATCTGTTTAGATGTGCCATATATCGCCGGGGAAAGGAGGGGATCATTAGCAAGATACCAAAATGGGAATGTGTGAACCATAAGAAAATATTATAATATGATTTTTAACTTTTTCGCCGTACGTCCATGTGAGTACTATTCTCTTTTCACTGCAAGAGTTGCGTTTTGGCTGCTAAAATACACCTTCACTGGGTGTACACGCCTGATGAAAACTTTACTATTAATGAGCCATATTCACATCCTGAGCAGTTCGCCACATCGCAGTACTATTTGCTTTCCTTCTGTCTATACAATACGGCCAGCTTTCAAGCCATTTGACGGCTAACGTACAGCGTCCTTATCAGGATGTGAATAGGGCTCATTACAAGTAAGTTTTCTCAATCAAAAAGGACGTTTAAAGTCCCTACACTAAAAGGTATTGTAACAACTTCCACAGTTGCTTAGCCTTCTTGAACCATTATGCATGGTTGTGGTTGTGTGTAGTCACTTTTTCACTCATACTTATGAAAATTGAGTCAGCTTGAGGAATTTTTTCTACAATTGATATTTCCTTCGAAATTTAATTTGATTAGACCGTGGAGTGAGCCGTATAAAGACTAAGAGTTTTTCCTTTCATTTCAGTGCTGTATACAGAAAGACCAGCGAGAAAAATATGTTTCTTTACTAAATTCTACGTTCTTTATACAGTTTCATTTTTGCAAAACAATGATGAATGAATATTTTGGCGAATGAATATTTTCTGAGTACTTACTGAGTAAAAATACTCAAAATTTGTTAGTAGAACTCATATGAGTACTCATGGACGCATTATAAGTAAAGTCGTACTCATAGTATGAGTACTTTCACTAGGGACGTCTTTGTAAAGTGGAAATTAAAATGCAAAGTAATGCTTTTAAATACGCTTTCTGTGTTTAGGTTTGTCCAGTTCTGATTGAATGCTGGATCAGGCTATTTGGGAAACAAGTGGTCCGGCTGAATCGCTGAATTTTTTCTCGTTATCTTTTTTCGTAGTGTTTTTTTTATAATTTTTTCAGTCATGTATAACAGCATTCTCTCTTTTTTCTGTAAAAACACGCAATGTTTTTGTTGTTGTATATTTCTTTGTCTTGTCTCTGAAATTATTTATTGATGTCTTTTTTTTCTACTTTTCTATCAAAAGATTAGTACTACGCAACATGTAAGAGTAAGAAGAAATTTGAAACTCTAAAATAAAACCAAAACACCACAACCTACAATAGTCTTCGAATTCTGGGACAGAACAGACAGATGATGGAGAAAGCAGCACATATTCTTCCTTGACGAGAATCTTTTTCTAAGAACAAAAATTTTTATCTCTATCAGACAATTTTCTATACAACAAAACGAAGAAGAAAATTTAAGTTCACAGATAGATTTTTAGTTTACGATTAAAGAATTCTTTTCAATTCATTTTTCATACTATCAATAAATCCAGATTGGCACTGCTAGTTTTATACTGTTACTGGACTACTCTGTCATCAAAGTACTAGTACCATGTAAAATAAGCAAGGCGTGCTAATGTCGTCGAGGTATTCATATTTTATCATTGCAACACTAAATGCTATGTAACTTTTATTTTTGGAGTTAATTTTATGTTGATGTTATCATTCCTAATGGAACAGAGTCTATGAATATTCGATACTTGCATAGAGCTTATTTATATATAAAGTGATTTATTGCACAATGCCATAGAAATTAAATGAATATGTCATCTAAAGCACTAAACTAGTGTTTGTTATCTATTTTACTATATTTTACATCCAGATCTCAGTTTATTTTTTTACGTTGTAGACTCTTTCTATTCTAAAACAATGTATTATTACATTTGAGATGCCACTTACAAAAAGACAGAATAGCTGTGAAGACAATGAAGTCGATAGGTAAGTTTTCACTTGATGATGTACATTTATTGAGTAAAGAAAAATTTCTTAATTGTGTATTTTAGTTTGAGTAAACGCTTCAAATTAGCTGAAAATGTTGTAAATCAATCATTACCACTTCCGCTCACATCAGCAAATATTCCTCACACTGTAAATAAATCTTTAATAGAGTTAATCCTAATGTTGTCGAGGTATTCATATTTTATCATTGCAACACTAAATGTAAAAAATCTATCATATCATAGTAATCATAAATCTTTAGGACCAAAAATTCCTTTCTGTGCGTTTCATAGACTACATGTTCTGAAAACGTATAAAATTCTTGATTAATATGTTACGTAAAAAAATTGAAGATCATATAGAATCACATAGGTACTTTACGCTTCTTATTTTTGAAATTAAACATGTTTACGTTTTCATTATACTTTTAGTTCAAATAAACATTTGAAAATTGATGATGATGGTCCAAATGAATTATCATCGATCAATCCACTATCACCATCATCAACGGTAAATAAAACGAGATAGTATCGTTACTAAAACAACTAGTTGAAAATGTTATATTCACACGTATTTAATCTTAGATGATTACATGTCTGGAAGATTTATCTTGTGAATTATTTTTATGTTTATTTGATTATCTTGATTGTTATATTTTATTTCAATCGTTTTATAATTTAAATGAACGAATAAATCAAATTATCTGTCGCAAACAATTTTATCTCTGTTTACCTGATTTATATAAAACATCAGAAATATGTTTGAAACATCTAGATTGTATTACATATCAGTTAGCATCATTGAAATTAATATTTTATGGTGAATATTCTCCAGACTGTTCTTTAATTGAACAATTTTCATCATCTCTACGTTCATTAACATTATCAGGATTACAATCATCTTACATACAGAAAACAATTTATAAACTATCAGAATTAAAACAATTATCATATTTATCAATCGACTTTGGTTGGATTATTGGAGATGACGAAAATTGTGAAGATATAATCAAAATTATATTTAAAAATGAACGACTAAGGTAATTCCAGAATATGAATAAAGCAGTTAGAGAAAAGAAGCTGACAATGAAATAAGTATATCTACACGAGCTAAAACTAGATGTATAGATGACGGAGCCAGTAAACTTGGGTCAGTAGGCTTGGATCTTCCTTGATTTTACAATCAAAACATTCGAGCATGTGAAAATGACTAAAAATATTTGATGTCCTACTCGTGAATCATCATTAGGTGAACAAATAGCGTTCTAGGTATCAGAGACTTGATACTTGCACTTGCAACAAGAGTACTTGTAGTTTGTACTGAAGTACTTTCCTGTACTTTTAAGCTAGTTAAAGTATGATTCGAATTTTAAAAGTAAAAGAGATACACATTATGAATTTAGACTCGTTTAGCTATACAACAGTGAAAAAGGTTTTTCGACCTTTTGACCTTTGCTTTGTAAGAAATAAACTTGTTTTTCACGCTAGATGATTTTCCTTAGAATTGTGGTCAGTGTACTGAAGTTCTAAAGTTTCAGAGATGCTCAAATTGTGACAAAATGTTTGTCTATATATACTACATCTATACAGATACCACAAATTAAAACCTTGATTTTTCAGATAAAATCCATTTTTCTCAGACCAGGACACTTTGAATAAAGCGTAAGGCGATATTTGGAATTGTCGCGTGAAACTACATCGAATGTTGTATAACACAAAACTTTTGTAAACAAAAGAGCTTTTACAAAAAAAATTGAGTGAAGGTTTCTCAGAGGGATTTTTGGTCGAAAAATTTCTTTTCAAAACTCTTTTATTTTTTAGAGTAATTCTCCGAGTGATACAGAATCATTCTTGAGCAAAAAGAGGCGTTTTTGATGAAAAAGATCACATGTTCGCCTACCTAATACCCACTGTGCATCATTTTCCTGCTTTCACAGTTCTAAACATTTGAAGAGTCCAAACCGAACCTCTCCCCCCCCCCGCACAACATCCATTAGATTCTCACAGTGTAGGATAAATCTAAGTTGATTTCTTTCTGCTTTGAGAGCTATGAAAGATATTTTTTTAAAACCACTACATTAGGAATCAAACTAGCATCCTGCATTTAGATAAATACCACATCACTTCGCTATAAAAGGCGTAAAAAATTTAATCCTGACTGTCATCAATTATTGGATACAGCTCTATTTGTATCTTTGATGAATATATAAAGCTGACTCTGATTTATTTCTATTTTAGAAAAGTAGCTCTCAAATTTGTTCAAAAATTCGATATCAGTTGTCTTCCAGTGTGTTCTACATTAGACACTTTAACTATTTATTTATGGACATTTGATGATGTGTTTATTTTATTAAAACGTCTTCCATCTATTCGCTGTTTAACAGTTTATATTCAAGTATTTGATTTAGTACCGTCTCATTCCTTTATACTAGATAATGATATTCATTCATCGTTGATTCATCTGAAATTAGAAGCAAAATACGGTCTTTTTCGATATATAGAAAAATTATTAAAGAAAAGTATTCGATTAAAAACATTTCAATTTATAACACGAAATTGTGAAGAATTTGGAAATGGACTTGAATGGGAAGCATTATTTCTTCGATCATTGCATACACCATTAGATAAATTTCAGTTGATTATTGATCGTGTAGATTCGGAAACAATGAAAGATTTAAGAACATTTCAAACACAATATTGGTATACAGTTTATAATATACGCATTTTGACCTGTGAGAATGATCAATTCAAGTTCTATGCCATCAAACAGTGACGAGTAACACGCTTTTTTTTCTCAGATATATATACATATATATAATTGCTTTTTATACAAGATATCCAACAGTGGTTTTTTCTTATCTTCTAGTGACTATTCAAGAATACAGTAGTAATAAAACTAATAATAAACTTCTGTTCTGAAATGCATCGAAATTGTTTTTGTATGCATTAAAAATATTTTTGACTCTCATGTGATATGATTTCGTGTCTATTCTTGTTGCTATGTAACTTTTATTTTTGAAGTTAATTTTATGTTGATGTTATCATTCCTAATGGAACAGAGTCTATGAATATTCGATACTTGCATAGAGCTTATTTATATATAAAGTGATTTATTGCACAATGCCATAGAAATTAAATGAATATGTCATCTAAAGCACTAAACTAGTGTTTGTTATCTATTTTACTATATTTTACATCCAGATCTCAGTTTATTTTTTTACGTTGTAGACTCTTTCTATTCTAAAACAATGTATTATTACATTTGAGATGCCACTTACAAAAAGACAGAATAGCTGTGAAGACAATGAAGTCGATAGGTAAGTTTTCACTTGATGATGTACATTTATTGAGTAAAGAAAAATTTCTTAATTGTGTATTTTAGTTTGAGTAAACGCTTCAAATTAGCTGAAAATGTTGTAAATCAATCATTACCACTTCCGCTCACATCAGCAAATATTCCTCACACTGTAAATAAATCTCTAATAGTGTTACCATTCACTAATATTATTTTGTATAATTATTCTTAGGTAACACGTTTAGAAGAGTTGACTTGTAAATTATTTTCATGTTTATTTGATTATTTGGATTCGTATACTCTGTTCAAATCATTTCATAATTTAAATTTACAAATAAATCAACATTTATATCAACAAATATTTAAATTTTTATGTTGTTCTCAAGAAAATCAAAAATTATTTTTCGACAATTATTCTCTTGTACAATTGACATCATTACAGTCATTAACATTACGTAACATAAAAATAGCGGATTTAAAGCAGACTATTTTCAAATTATCAAATTTAAAACATTTATCTCATTTATCGGTAGATTTTAATTGGATGATAGGACATATAAATCCTGATCAAATTATCAAACATATATTTACCAATTTGACTTCATTAAGGTACTGTAGTAATCTACGTTTTTGTTCAAGAAATTTTTGTTAAAAGTAACCTTTCCCTCTCTGTTTTGAAAACGTCTTTGATTGTCAACTGTATATAGTAATTGAAGCAGAGGAAAATCTGGCCTACAAAACAAGATCATTTTAACTGTTTCACGATCTTTTTTGTAAAAGTTATGTATGAGATTTTTAAGTTTTTACTGGAAAGTCTAAAAAAGAAACTTAAGATTTTTAGTTTCGTAAGTTTTTCGTTCCTTTTCAGTGGCTTCAAACTATCTGATCGTTCTATTCTGGTGACACGAGCATTTGTTGCACATGCCCTGAAAAAGGTGTCCTATGTCTTATCTCACATTATCTGTAATATGTTCAAAGCGCTAATAGTTCCAATTGGTGAATCGTACGACTTTATCGAAACTTTATCAGAGTGAGCCGAGAATTTTTACATCAATCGGGCTTAATCGAACCTTTACCAATAAGGTGAAAAAGAGGGTAGAATGGTATCCTTAAGTTTCAACGTACAACAGTTTATTCTTATTTTATGACAAAAAAATGTAAAATTTCTCTGTATTATTAGGCACTTATCATTAAAATTTATTCAACCGTTCAACGTCAACGCAATCCCAATTTGTACTACATTAACTCACATGAATGTTCATTTATGGACAATCGACAATCTTTTTACTTTAATGAGTCGTCTGCCAACGGTTCGATATTTATCAGTTTATATTCAGATGTGTCATAAGCCAGAAATACCCTCTTATACAAGTGATTTTCTATTATCATTGATCTATTTAAAATTAGAAGCAAAGCATATTCATTTTAAACATGTTGAACAATTATTGGGTAAGCTCGATTAGTCCAAGGCTTATTCATAAATAATGTTACTGAGGATATATACAGTGTAGTTATTTTTTTTTCAATTTTTCACAAAATTTTCTGTAGAGCAAATACATCGAATAGGCAGTTATTAGTAATAAACGATCTATATGAAAGATACTTTATTTTTATGTTTCAATTACCTTAGGCAAATGTCCAGAATTAAAAATATTTGAATTAATAACACGAAATTTTGATGAATTTAAACATGGTAATAAATGGGAAGAGTTATTTCTTCGTTCACTACGAACAAAACTGAATAAATTTCAAATTTGTATTGAGCACGTAATTGATCCTGATACAATAGATTTATCAACATTCCAAACAAAATTTTGGCAAGAATATTTTCATACAACGATTTTAACGTGTAAAAATACTCATTTTATAGTTGATGCTAGACAACAATAATAACATTTTGTGATTGATATTTTGTTCAGACTTTATTTGTCTGTTATTCTATTTGTCGTTCATAATTTTTTATCATCACTATTTGTTGACGTTTATTTAGCTGTTGTTAAAAAAAATAAAATGAAATTTGAAAAGAAAACAGTGTTTTGTTGTCTCTCCTCGGCATATAATACTAAAAATTTAACCTATAAGTCAGTAAAGGTGTCTAAAATAATATAGGATCCTTTTGTATTGGTTACAGATGCACAGTCAGTTTTTTTGCAAGGAAAAACTAGAGTGAAAGCTGGCTGTTTTAATGAATACGTTCATTCTCAACAGTCTTCTTTTAAATATAACTGTACTAAAGTACGTCACGGATTCTATAGTTTCATAACAGCATTTCCTTCTGAAAATTGTTTTGCAAAAGTTCAAATTTATTAGTTATAGATCAGAGTTTAAAAGGGTATGTTTTTTCAGAGAACTTGTCTACTGTAATACGTCGTACGTTTATTGTTGTCAATAACATTTTCATGAAAGAGAAAAAAAGAGAACCTTTATAGGATAGACAATCCTATCAAAGGACTGACAGTCAGAAATTCTAGCTTATCATACGAATATACAGCTTGATTCACTTATTTTCAAACAGTTTTGTCAGTATTGACTGTATTTCTGCCCAACATAAGAAGTTTTCTATTTTTATATGGCTGGATAGAGCATTCATTTCTCTACTGAACTGTATATTTTGTATCTGATTTATTTCTCACCTTGGCCGAGAATTTAGTGAAATTCTAAAAGTCTTCAAAAAATACTTTTTCACGCTAATATTTAGCTGAAACTAAATCCGATTGATACGAAAATGGTTTCAGATTGAAGAGATTCATCAAAGCCGTGTTTGTACAAAGTATTGAATGAAACCGTTGTGTATTCGAGGAGAAAGTTTAATTTAAATTTTTAAATTTTAATTCACCTGGCAGTTTTCGTTACAAAAATGAAAAAACAGGTGTTAGGGCTATTCGCATAATGTAGAATTTATGTGAAAGCTTTCAGCTAAACCAGACTCAAATTAGATAATTCAGTAGAGAAATGAACGCTCTATCCAGCCATATAACAATAAAAAACGTCTTATGTTTGGCAAAAATACAGTCAACACTGACAAAAACTGTTTGAAAATAAGTGAATCAAGCTGTACAATATTTTTGCGCATTCAACCTTTTTTCTGACTTTAGTATTGATTAAAACTACTGATACCATCATTCTTGTGGAAAAACTGAAGAAATTAAATTTTTTTTTAGAAAATTCATCGTAGGAAGGACAAGTGGTCATATTTTTCAAAAAACATTTATCCGTTGAAATATGTATGGGACTGATGCAGTTTAACGCGCTGATTTTGAAGACGATCTTCATCTTAAAAGAATACTGACGCACAGCTGAGAAAAGTCTGAAACACTCAAATTTTGTGGAAAACCTGCTTCGAGATTGAAAAGAGTTTATGCATCGTGTCGAGACAGAACTTTTTATTTTGTTAATTAAACCCGGATTTAACTTGATTTTTCGTCAGGTATTTTAAAAATAAAGTTTTATTCATTACAAAAGTAGAAGAAAAAACAAACATATCTGCTCCTAAGGATAAATAATCGAATCACCATAATGCAAAAAGTGAACAAATACTGCAGGCTACATTTTCACTGATGTTCTGTCGTTGATATTGAATGGTCATTTTCACCTGGATTCTTTCTTATTTTTGAGTCTCCACACAATTGGACATACACAACATGAAAACGACAGCTGCCATTAGAGTGCAAAAGCAAATGTCGGAACCACCAGGCATACATCGGTATATACTGGTCGCAATTCCGTGTTTCTCCCAAAGAAAGCTTTTCGAAATGAAAAATAATCTTCTGAAATTTTTTTTAATCACTGAGTTTTGAAGAGCAAACATTTCTCTACAAATCAGATATGACAGTACTTTACGTCTTGGCGCAGTAATTAGATGAAAATGTTTATTAAACGTTCCATAATCGATACTGATACCAGTATCCGTTAATATCAGTTTCTGGCTCTTGGCCAAAAAATGACTGCCGGAAAAAGAAAAGAGATGAAGAGTTCTACCATGTCTCATTCTGTCGAAAAATATCTTCAATACTGAGTCGTCAGAAAATTTTAATATCCTATACTTTGTGATAAATCTAATTGAGCAAAAGAGTAAAATATACCGATAAATACTGGCGCATGTCTAATCGGGATCAAAAATGTCAATCCTGTAGCACTCAATTACAACGTTTCATTAAAAAAATCAATGTTACCAAAATTCATTACACTAGACGTTGTCGTTTGAAGTAACTAGTCTTATAAAAAAGATTTCTTCTAAACTATTGAGTGAAACTTGAATGGCGATGTTCTATCTCTAAAATCTTGTATTCAAAGATATGGGCTTCAAAAACTATATAGTTTTTAACTACTACAAGTTAACTACTAGAAGTTTAAACTATTATAGTTAATGCTTTCTCCTAATCTGAGCGGATTTTTAGCGTTTTCTGAATATTTTTTCTCTTATAAATTTTTGGTGAAACTACATTTTTCATGATAATTTATAGTCAAAATAGTGCAGTGTAATTCAAGAACCCGTGATTGAACATTCAAATATCTTACCTTCGATCGTTGTCTAAATATTTGCATCATTATTCACTGTAAGATGTGATACGTAACATGATGTTTATGTGTATTATAGTTTAGCCGTAGAGCTTAGCCACTGAACATTATGAACATATATCAATTGTTAAATATCCCTAGACGATTGCACTTTTACCCTGAAATTTGCTCTTCGAAAATTGAAAATATTTGTTGACTATGTTATAGAATAAAAGCAAGATATAATCAATCCAGAAACTTGTAATGAGATAAAAAAAAAACTGAACTTACTTTAGCATTCATTGAGATTTTTTTTGTTCACAAAATTACATCAATCATTTATCATTTTGTTTCTCAGACAATAGTTATTATACTCTCGTATTTGGGTGAATAATTTATATATTTTAGATTATTTAAAGATTTATTGACTTATTCTACACGCATCAATTCGTCTTCACATTCGTTGATTCCGTCTTAGAATTCGTTCATGTTTGCCTCTGTTAAAATCATCATCATGAGAATTGAAAAAAATACATTAGTAAGTAAACATTTTTTTATTCTGTTCTATATTTTTACAATCGATTAATATTGATGATCGTATTACATTCAATGTAGTACAGTTGAAAAATGTAGATATCGAGAATCATTGATAGATAGAGATATTTTATATGAAAATGTGATTATGCAATAATTATAAATGAGAATTTATTCAGGTAAAAGAATTTTATACAAATTTACAAATTCCCCGATGAAATTTTCTTAATGATTTATCAGTATTGCTTCTTTTTTCAGTCGGAAATAAACTTTCATCACTTATATCAAACAAATACTAATGCAAGGTTAGAAATTGTGAACATATGAAAGTGTCTCATTTCATCCGAGTTGTTTGCATATCTTCACTACATGTCTTATATAATTACTCCATAGATCAAGAATATATTGATGATCATCGAATATATTTTTCTTGTTCTCTATTCTTCAATAAGTTTTTTTTTCTTTTTTTTTTTTGAAATAATACAGTCCTTGATTTGTAGGATCTATTTTATTTTATCGTTCCTAAAAATACGTCATTTCGTTATTAGTTAATAGATCACGTAATATTTACCTTTATGTTCATTAACTTTTCGTCTTCTGGTAGTAGACAATCTCATAATCTCAAAGTTTGATGAACATTTATTGTTGCCTCACTTATATGTATCTTATAGAAGTGTCAAAAGAGAGAGAGAGAGAGAGACAAAAAGACAAAAGCTAAACGAAAAATCTCTTCTGTTACTTGATTTCAGAATTACGTAAAAGAGATAAAAAACAACAACAAGAAAACGTAATAAATTTTTGTGTAAAAAAAAAAAAAAGAACTGACAAAATTATCAGACACATCAATATGAGAAATTATAAAACGTAAAAAAATTTTTCGAGGTAGGATTGTGTATGTGTGCATGATTGACTTAACACTATAGATCTTTCTTTTGATGATTTGACTTTTATGAATTGTAAACGTGATCGTATATAGGCCTGTGACAGTTTATAGTTGACTGAACTGTAGTTTCTGGATAACAGGAACTGGTTTTGCAGTTCACGTTTCTAGGAACGTGGAATGGTTTACCAATTTCACTTTCTGCAAACGGCAACTACAGTTCTTTTTTGAATTGGGAACAGACTCTTCGTCTAATCTATGAACCCTAGAAGCAAACACTTTCTAATATCTTTATATTGTGTGGTGAAGTTTTCCTTTCTTTCCAGTTTATAAAACGAAAGATATGTATAGACGCACATACCTGTTTGGACAAAACTATAGAACGTCGACATTACGTGGATGGTCTATTGACCTTTCATGGCAATATTGTTTACTCTCTATTTTTCATTCTTATTGTCTATCCTTTGAAGCCAATATTTATGACAGATGTATGAGAAACTGGTCTAATAAAAAACAAGAAAAAGAAAAGTATAGCATGAAAATTAACTAAAATAGTTGAACACCGGTCTTTATCAAAAAAGAAGTATTATACTCGTAGAAGGCAAATACGTGCACTTCAGCAGACCAGAAGCTAAAGTTCTCCACGATGCGTTTATGAACTTAAGCAATAGATTCAGATCTTATGAGGAAGCGAACTGTTTAATTAGAAAGCGCAGCATATAACCTAGGAGTCTCTTTGAGAATATATCTTTCTAGTGCTCATGCTTTCAAAATGTTGTGTTTGCTAAGTGAAATATATAATAAACTAACAGATCACTAAAGAGCAGTGGACAGTTCCTAGTTCAAAAAGAGCGGTAGTTCCCGTTTACAGGAGCTGAAACTGATAAACCGTTCCTTATTCCTAGAAACATGAACTGCTCAACTGTTTCCAGTTCAAGAACAGAAACTGAAAAGCAGTTCTCATTCAATAAACGCGAAC